AGCACCCTAAAAGCTAATTACACGAAAAATATGTTTTTAAACCGTAAGGGGCATATGATCATATTTGTTGTTAGTCCCACAGCACCTATGGCACTTTTTCCAGACGTTTCAGGAGATTTTGAAGTTCCCCTAACTGCAAACCTACTGTCATAACAAGTATTTCCGCGCAAGTCCCTTCGACACACATTAAAGTCAAACGGTGAATATAGGTATCTTCTATAGATCACTGGGGTTGTGGAAGGACCATAAATCGACTACTTTATTTGCATATTTTCATCATTCGCCTTTCATATTCTGTATGTTTCTTCTATTCTCTTCGAATCGGTTTCTTAACCTTCTCCTGCCACGTTTACCACTTTCGATTGATGTTACATACTAATTATGTCGACAGACTTCAGTAACATACATCACAGTGTGATGACGAAGGTTCGCTATCTAGCTGATAATGGCGCAGAAGCTAGTGTCCTTCCCGCGATTATCAACTATCATTTACAAGATCTGGTTTCCAATTTACAGGTGACAAATGGAGAACCTACCACTAGGGAAAATCACTCTGATTGAGAATCCAGTTAACTGGACTACTTCTTGCAGTCTAATTCAGTTATACAGCAGATTTCTGGGGCAAAAAATCTAGTTGCAGACGTTTTGTTCCATATAAATTCTTTGAACAGTTTCCGAGGGGTCGAACTTTTCAAAATTCCTCAGCTTAAAAAACATCGATCTTCAGCATGAGTCATCACCGTAAACTGAAAAATTACGTGTGAAGCAAACGGAATCAGAGATGAAAGCTTTACTTTGCGAAACATTTCCTTGTGGGGACCATGCAGTTTTGTCAAAAGATTATCGTTGCAAGGTTTTCAGCATATTGCACAGACCAAGTCGTTCAATTATTTGAGCATTCATCAAGATCATAGCCTAGCGACTATTGTGGGCTGCTATGTGAAAAAATAAACGAATAAGAGCGTTGCTATTCAAGCTGAAAAAATCTACGGTGATCAGTCATAACAAATATCCCTTAATCTCATTCGTAATCCCTGATTCTTGCTTCGACCACGTCTTTAAAAGAGTCGAACAGGCACTTTGGTTTCTCAGCGTTCGCAAACCGTTTCACACAGTGCACAGAGATGGTGCCTACCAAAGAAATTGTTGCTGAGACAATAGCTCACGCTTTTATCAAAGGATGAGTGGCAAACTTTGGATGCCCTTCGGAAACTACCACAAACGGTGAGTGTATGGCCGAGCCATGTCGTGTTCACCATTGTTGACCTACTCTTAGTGTTACACGTTGAATGTAAATCCTTTGAATAATTATATGGTCGGTTTCAAATATTGTGTGGTTAGTAACCACGGTCTCACTTTCAGTTGCGACCGTATTATAATAGACCAACTCTCTACTATATGTCTCGCAGGGAATTCATAATGCATCGAAAGTTGATGTTTGATGCACTACAGCTGAAACTCTTTACGGAACGACACTTTGACTTCCAGGATCATCCATCTTCAGTAAATCTGGACTTAAACTCCTATACAAGCAGGCTTACAATCGCGTTGCATTTAGTCAAACATGTTTACACTCAAACTCAGTCAGTTGGTCTTCCCGTCTAACCCGCCCTTCTATTTACTTCACACGTTTGGGTACATTGTGATTTATTATGTTGACCTCTCAACGCTGGGTATGAATGACCATATGAAGTTCTTAATCGTGAATTCAAGCGTTGTGTTATCAATAAGAATGGAACTGAAGACAGCATCGGCAACGATCAGCTAGAAGAAGCCTGCTTGTTTGGTAACCACTTTTCCGTCAACTGCACAGTCTCCGTGATGGCGATGCAATCCGTGATAGTCAACGAGAATGACAAAACGTCTCTAATGTCCGATGAGCGGCCGTAAGAACGAGCTCTGGACGAACGGCAAGATTAACAGAACACTTGAATGACTGATATATGTTGAAGATTTTCCCAGCCTATTTAATTTTGATTTTGTCTTCATGTTCTACAGCTAATACGTTGGAATTTTGATATTTCTTACGTCCAAAAGTTCGAAAAATTGTTATTTTAGATGTGGTTATGCACTGTTTCAATTAAAAAAAACAAAGATCAAAGTATTTTGAATTAGTTCATATTAATGTATACATTATTTTACTAAAAACCAAACTTTCCAAGTACACGTTTTGTGTTATTGCATAGTATGGAAACACACATTTACGGATTTTATTTTCGTACGATTAGGTTACTTACGTAGGCCCAACTGTATCCGGCATGCACTCACACTTTACTTTTTTCTTTACAGGATGACCAGAAAAGTAGAAAACGCGAGGATAACTTTGAACAACCAAACCTTTCATTGTGTATCTTTTCTGTTATATGCCCCCGAAACTGATTGAAATAGGAAAGGATAAACGAACTCTGTTGGACGTAGAACGAAATAAGTAGAGTGTTTACCAATGTCACGCTCATTAATTTTAAAATTGTGGCTGTTTATATCTTAAGATCTTCACCAAGAAATGAGAGAGATTTAGTGTTAAATAATTTCTCATAATAAACAATTCTGTAAGCTTCTGAGACTGATACTGATCTTATAAGTTTTATTAGATACAGCTCAAGCCAAACGCATTTGGAAAAGCGCTCAAATCAGATAGCGTTCGAATACACCGTGAGGTGCATCTTTCGACAACTAGTATGCTAAAACCATACACTTCAAGATGCATCAACCATTTCTTAAATATATTGTTGGAGAGAACCAAAGTTCAAAAAACTCTGAATACACTGAGAAAAGTCTTATCCATTCAACTTTGAACAGAGGAGTCTCAGAAACATCTAAAAAATGAAGAGCCGTGTGTCACATTTCTGATTGGATGATTACCTATCGCACTTCTATGTTTGATAAGGTGTCATAAACTACCAAAACATCAATGCCATCTGAAATACTAACAGTATCCTAGATCTTCCGCACATGAAATAAACTTGGTGGCAAGCGTTCTTATCACACTTTGCTCCTTTTCCCTCGTGTTCAAGTTACGTGTAGATTTGTCCTGGAGTTATTAGAAGAGCTTAAGAATCCGATTCAAGAGTTCATTTAGAAGGCTTGTCACATATTTTCGAATCCTTTTATTCCTGATTTGTGGTTCTCTGACTCTGGAAGCCTTGAACGAAAAGGCTTTACGGACAAGAGCATTGTCAAGCATTGTACATCTGTTACATTTTTAGGCTACAGCTAAACTATTCATCAGGATGAACCATTTTCACATTGAATGACCTATCACTGGTTGATCGACAGCTAATCGTACGTCACCATGGTCAAAGATGACTAACTGGAATTAATCAATAACACACCATGGATGGGTACATATAGGAGTGATTCAACGTTTTATCTCCGTAATCTGTTCTTACTTACCTATACTTTTGTCTATTGAGTATGTCTGTTCTGACCTACCACTGAGGAAGCTACTTCATTGCTTATCACAAGAGGATATTCTAGGTTAGCTGTTAGCTGAATGGTAGAAGATCACATCATTCTGTCCATTTTGAGTAGACCCTGACCATTGGAACAGACCACCCACATCGATGATCGACAGCAGATAAGGGCTTACTGTAAAAGGATCTAGGTGTCTATGGTAAGTGGTTCGTAAGCATTCGATACTGATACTGAACTTAACAGTTTTGGTAGAGACTGCTACTTGAAGGCGTTTGATTGAGGATCCTAACCAGATGGTGACACCTCCTCAAGTGGAAAGATCCTCTCCTTTTAAATAATCACTTTAGATCACATAATCCTCCATCTCTGTCTACAAACAATTATTATTATTATTATTATTATTATTATTATTATTATTATTATTAGCCTTATTCAATATTATATTATTGGTAAAATATAGAATTCTCAGCACAAAGTATTTCAACAAGTTTCCGTTTCTCTCTTCTTGGTCGGTCCTCGCGATAAATACTGAGTGATCGCCAGTTAGATGTTAGCAGTCCAGTAAATGAACATCTGAATAATGTACATTCTTCTCGTTGTATATTGCCAGCAACCATATTCTCTCTTTTTGAGCTTTTTGTAACTTTGACAACGAAAGGTTGTACACTTTTCAGAAACGCATCAGAATAGGTTGTGCGATTAATAAACATAATGATATATTAAAACAAACAAAAACAGATAACTTGTTGAAATATCTAGATGGCAGGAACAGGTAGCCCAGATGCTCAAGCATGCCTCCTTGATATACCTTCCCTCCCAACCATCACCGCCATCCTCCTTGTTTGTCTTCTGGGAAAATCATCAGGTGATGGCTTTAAACCAGTACTGTTTAACTATGTAGAACTCAAAGTATCTAATGTTCCAAGAACAATCTAATATCATTAAAGTTACGTAAGCTGGTAATTGCCCAATATAAATAAAATATATGACAGTTTTTAATACAGATTATCTTTCTTTTTCCTGTACGATCACTAAGTTAATTCAAAATAAAACCTGCAAATAAAATAACCAAAGAAGTGCTCATGTAAAAATACATCAAATATACTGTTTAAATATACACAAATAAAAGGAGAAAATATACTGTCGTAAAAAAACAAACAACCTGTCAAGGTACATACATTAACTCATATAATCATTATTAGCTTCAATAGTGATTTCCTTGAAACTAAATAAACCCTTCTCCTAGAAACTTATGAAACTTAAACAAAATGTATGAATAAGTAACAATAAAATCACTAATTTATTAGGTTCAAAGATCAATAACATCTTTTTTCTTTATATATGTAAAACATTGTACAAATTAGTTGAAATCAAAATCAAGATTATATATTTGTATGTAAATCGTTTTGTTTAAATTATCTCTACATTGTTTCAGTGATAAACTACCAAATATATTCATTATACATGTTGATTCAATGTTAAACATTGATGATCAAATCATGTACCATATAAATTATTTAAGAGAATAAATTTATTCTACATTATATTTGTGCATTTTAACTATTTTCAAAATTCATTCCATTTCTTCAATTAACTGGAGGCAATGGACCTTTGCTTGATCTACGATGTGTTTTATCAGTTTTATTTCGTTCAGTATTCTGTGAAGATCTATTAGGCTGATCAGAATTTTCTCCAGTAAAATGAACTGAATAACTGCTAGATTTTCGTCTAGGTGAATTATTACCATGTGTTTTTTCTTCTTCGTGGGTTTGCATATCCTCATTTTTCAACTTTTCAACTGATTCAATACTATCGGTTTTATTTTTTTCAGCCATTGCTTTTATTTCTTCTGGTCTAAGTAGAGAAGCCAAACTAAAAAAATAGAATTAAAAGACAATTCAATGGAAAAAATTAAATTTAAAGTGAGAGGAGTGTACGTTAGCATGTATTTCATCATACATTCAGTAAACGTAGTGTATATCAAGTTCGTAAATTGTTTAAAATTGATGGAACCTATTCTTAAGACAATCAAATAGTAAATGTAATATATTGTATAAGCTAAATTACAAGGAATACGGGTTTCTGATACAAAATGTTTGCGATCATACATGATATGATTTAGGGCATAATCAATGATATTTTGCCAATAAAAAGTTGTCCTCCAATTCTAATCCTAAATCTTAACCAGTACACTCTAACTCTAATCTTGAATTCTAATCTTAATACTTAACACTAAGCCTCAGCTGTAATCCTATAAACCCTAACACTCCTTAACAAAATTTTAGCCCAACTTCTCATTTCTAGCCTTAATCTTTACTCGTTTACTATAATAAATAACTCAACATGTAAGAGTTCATCAGTGGTGTCGAACTCCATATCCAACTTGATTATATCGTTCATTATTATTAATTGTTTCATAAATATAAACGGCTAATAAGTTCCTCATGATATCCGGTATAAGTTACATATTTAAAATTTTGAAACGATTATACCTATTATCTTGTCAACTTATTAAAAATATGTTCTTATAACCAAGTATACTCAATATATTAGAATTTCTATAGAACACTCAATAGTTGTAGCAGTATAAATTAAGATTAGTAAGATAGACTGAGTATTCTTTTCCACTTTCTAAGAGTTAGTTTATATAAATTGTACTCCTTGGATCTAAATATATTAAAACTCTTAGTTGTTGGGCAATATAAGACGATTGGCTGAGCAAGTATATATTTAGTAATAGAGAACAATCAATTATAGATATCAACATAACAGGTAAACTTCACTGATAAGTCCCAAATACCGATTAATTATAAGAGTTTAACTCATAATAACAGTTTCTATGAATTATAATACGTTTATAAATCTTTAATTATCAGATTATAAACTAATCATCTGTAACACATTATATGGTTTCTTCATCAAATTCATCTTCTCCTTAATATTGAATATTGAACACTGATAACTGTTGAAAGTGTTTATTATCAAAATAAAGATTCACTTTCACCTTTTCAGTAAATGAATGCAAACTATGTGCATATTGTAGTAAGCCCATTCAACTAATGTATTATTAATCTGCTCACTGTAATTTAGACACTTGATCCACTATGTAAATTACTGTGTGAGTATGACTGAGCATATGTCTGCACATCAATTTTAATCTATTCTCCCATTGGTTGTAACATGCCAATATACTCACTTCTGCAGTTTCACACCTATCCGTTATAAGAGAAATTTAGTCAGATGTCTCACTAGCAGAGCAAAAAATATCTATACAGTAGATACTCTAAGTCAGGAGCTTGAATTTATCAACAACTTACTGACCGAGATCGGCTACCCCAGTGCTTTCATTAAGAAGTACATGTATGACATAATAAAGAAGTCGGAGATTTCGACTGTTCGTAAGAAACATTTATACATGAAAGTGCAATTCAACGGGGATGTGGCTAGTGACACTCTGAAATATAGGTTAACCAAAGTAATCACCAAGACATTCTACGTAGCCAATCTTGCGTTGACCTTCTCTTGTCGACCAGCGATGTCTACTCAAACGAAGGATAAGTTACCTGAGTTGGCCTCTTCTATGTGCATTTACAAATTCAGCTGCTCCTGTGGAGATAGCTATATAGGGCGTACTACCAGGCAACTTAACCAACGAATGAGTGAACATCTACCAACTTGGTATATAAAGGGCCAGATAAAATCTATTCGCAGTTCTATATTGCCACATCTTATTGATAGCGCTCATGCTGTAGATAAATCGAAATCATTTCGAGTTATCTATCGTATACCTCCATCTTTTCCCGATGGAGTCCGTTCCCGTCTCCTGCATATAGCTGAAGCCATTGGAATTCATACATATAACCCCAATTTATGTGTACAGAAGAAATACGTGACCCCTCTATCCCTTCCATGGCCAGTTATAACTTAACTAACAATTAAAAAATTTTTTTTATTATTATCATTATTTATTTTATTCTATTTTTGTTATCATTAGCCTTATTTTCACATCCATTATTTGTTTGTAATTTTCCGCCTTTTTGTATTCTTCACTATCTAATTATTTACACACATCTTATTACGTAATGATTTTAGTGTTTTGTGATTACTATTCCTAGTCTATTTACCCATGTTTGTTTGACCTTCTATTTCCAACGATTAACTATTGATAAGAGTTTTGTTGTTGTATTTTGATTATTCTCACTATTATCAGTTCACCTGTCTTCCTCCTATCGACTTGTATTTTTACCTATTTCTGTGGTGACCTATTATATGTCATAGTGATTATTAACCCATATTGCCTTGATTGGTTTAAAATTTTCGTATAAATATTCATGTATATTAGAGTAAAGCCTGATGACGATCTAATTGAAAACAATTGTTCGCTTATATGTGTTGTTCTAATTTTCACAATGGGAATCTTCAATAATTTATCCACACATAATTAACACTCAAAAATATATATGGATTTTTAACACACATACACACACACACTTGGTTGCACAGTGTGCTTGCTCGCTGTACACTTGCGGATTTTATTTATCTATAACAATAAAATATCTAAACATTAAAATTAAAACACGAATTTCAGCGAAGGGATCTCTTTTCAACGAATTTATTATCAAGCTGTACAATCGTATAAATATGAAAATTTTGTTTTTGTAAAAGTACTAATTCAAATCTCGGAAAGTCGAACTAGATAGCAACATATCTCTAAGATGTCACGCATTGTTTGAATTGTCGTTAGATGAACGTAAATAATTTGAGGACTATGTTACTAATGTTACGGAAAAACAATCACAAATAGCTAAACGTAAACACTTGGAAACATTGCAACACGTAGACGTGACTAAAAAGTTTCCAGAACATCCAGAAAAGTATGTATTTAATCATTCTTCTATTAAACTTTCGCCAGTCCAAATACAGGCCTTATCATTGGGTCCCAAGTTCTGTAACAGCACCTCTAAAACCAGTAGACTTCATACACAAATACAATTCAAAAATCTATCAAATCAAACTCATGATCTTATGCCGACATCCCCACAAAATCTCCAGCACTTTAAGTCCACATTACTGGACTGCAGTCATGGATTCGTTAATGCACAATGTAATAAGAATAACCTATTAACTAAGAACCACTTGGATCAGCTAATACTGTTGAAAAGAAATAAGGATTTAATCCTAAGTAAACCTGACAAAGGAGCTGGTGTAGTACTACTTGACCGCAAAGAATACTTGGATAAAATGAAGTTACTTCTAGAGGATGGTACTAAATTCTCCAAACCTAAAGAAGTTGATAAAACATTACAAATCGAAAAACAGCTAACAGATGTTGTTAAAAATCTTAAGAATAAGGGGATAATAACCCAAGACTTATATAATCACATACGTCCCATGGGTTCAATCATCCCGCGCTTATATGGACTACCGAAAATACATAAGCCGGGTTTACCGTTACGACCTATTTTGGACATGTCAAGTTCACCATACCACAGAATCGCCAAATGGTTAGCGGAAAAATTGGAACCGGTTAAAAAGCAAGTATGTAAACATTCTATTCATGATACTTTTCAATTTATTAATCGTATTAAGGACGTTAATACTTCCGAAAAACACATGTTCTCGCTTGACGTTAATTCTTTGTTCACTAGCGTACCTTTAAGCGAAACAATATGTTATATATGTGAGTATATTGATTCTAACAATATAGATCTAGGTTTTCCAACTGAACACTTGAAAGAACTATTGTTACGCTGTACTTTTAATGTCCAGTTCAGTTTCAATAATGAAATATATAGACAAAGGGATGGGATCGCAATGGAGTCTCCATTTGGTCCAATTTTAGCAGACTGTTTCATGGCAAAAGTAGAAAACGACCAACTGCATTCAATGATCAATCGATTCCACCTATACGTGAGATACATGGACGACACGTTTGTTGTTTGTGACAATAATATTGATTTAGATGATATTCTACACACCTTTAACTCGTGCCACCCTTCCATAGACTTCACGTTAGAAAGGGAACGAGACTAATCAATTCCTTTTCTCGATGTACGTCTGATGAGAAAGAGTAATGGTTCTTTAAAAAGATCCATCTTTAGAAAACAAACATGGAATGGCCAGCTAACCAATTTCTATAGCTGGGTTCCGTTAAGTAGGAAGAGAAACCTTACCCATTCTTTATGCTATCGCATACATCACATATGCAGTACGGAATGCATTAACGAATAACTCGCATTCCTCAAGAAGACTGACGGAAAATGGTTACCCAGAACGGTTCATAGAAAAGAATATGAATAGAAGTAGTTGTGACAAGAAACCTAATTGCTCCGTTACGAAGAAAAACCTTTATATAAGTCTGGAATTTAAAGGTGATCGAACAACAGAAGTAATCAAAAATCGTCTAACAACAACTATTAGAAGAACATTTGACGCCGCTAAACTGCGAATAACCTTCACGAGTAGGAACTTATTTTCTGTGTCCATAAAAGACAAGCTTCCGTGTCTGGTCGCCTCTATGTGCATCTACCAGGTCACCTACTCTTGTGGAGCAAGGTACATTGGCCGTAGCCAGCGCTCGCTTTCAACTTGAATACGGGAACGTATCCCAGCTTGGTTCTATAAGGGTGAAAGGAAAGCAGTTAGGAGTTCTGTACTTGAACACCTAATCGACTGTAACCATTCTACAGATCCACAATTTGATTTTAAGGTTGTTTCTATGATTCGTTCAAATCTACCCAGATTTCTTTGTATCCAACTCTTAAAAATAGCCGAAGCTCTTACCATACAGGAGCTTAAACCAGAACTATACGTATAAAAGAAGTACGTCTTATCGTTATCGTTACCTTGGCCTTAATTATTTTGATTATCCTATTATTATTATTATTATTATTATTATTATTATTATTATTACTGTATTCCCCCTTTACTTATGTCTTATATTCTCATTATCAGAATGGGTTAGATGCCGGCTCAGTGGTCTAGTGATTAAGTGCTCGCGCGCGAAGCCAGTAGGTCCTGGGTTCGAATCCCGCAGGGAGCGGGATCGTGGATGCGCACTGCTGGGGAGTCCCATGCTAGGACGAAACGGCCGTCCAGTGCTTCCAGGTTTCCAATGGTGGTCTAGCTTCAACTGACTCGTGATTTCAATCTGTGAAATTTATATTCTCATTGTTTTATTCGTGAATACTCATCATATCAGTTTATTTTTGTACACCTCTATGACCTTTAATTATTATAACAAAAACATTTTACAGGTTGAAATCATGAGTCAGTTGAAGCTAGACCACCACTGAAAACCTGGAAGCACTGGACGGCCGTTTCGTCCTAGTATGAGACTCCTCAACTGCTCACTAGTGACTGACTTCAGGAGAATCTTCTGGAGTTCTAGTGAGAAGCCGTCACCAGTGGAGTTCAACCAGGTCTGTTGTGAGATATCAGCTCACTGAAGACATTGGTGTTCGATGGCGCAACTTCGTGGATTGGTTGAAGTTAGACATTAACACCGTTGGATGCCGGCTCAGTGGTCTAATGGTTAAGTGCTCGCGCGCGAAGCCAGTAGGTCCTGGGTTCGAATCCCGCAGGGAGCGGGTTCGTGGATGCGCACTGCTGAGGAGTCTCATACTAGGACGAAACGGCCGTCCAGTGCTTCCAGGTTTCCAATGGTGGTCTAGCTTCAACTGACTCATGATTTCAACCTGTGAAATTTACTAAAATCTCCACAAAACTCATTCTGATAAAAACATTTTAATCATCTTATTATATTCACTAAATCTATTGTTATTATTCATATTACGTAATCTAGTATTATAATCTTTCTATTACATCATCTTGGTTGATTGTGTTCACATTTCCTCACGGAATTAGTACTTTATTCATATATATACGATTGTACAACTTGATAATAAATTCGTTGAAAAGAGATCCCTTCACTGAAATTCGTGTTTTAATAAAATATCTCTACAACTGGTGTTCAGGCTTCTGAATAATCTCGAGTAAATCTATAACCCTACTAAGAGATTTAGCCTGCCTTAAATACTCAGTTAACGGGATATCATTTATTGGAGTCAGATATAGAGGAAATGAGCCCTCTACAATATAAAAACAATTTTAATAATAAAATAAATTAGCTTACCCATGATTATCTCCCCTAAAAGTAAATAAAAAAAAGAAGAAAAAGCTCAGAGATAATAACAATAATAGACGAAATATATATCTAGCTAATTAAAACTAATTTTGAAAGATCGATTATTTTGGAAATGAAATGAATAATATTATTCATTTATGTGAAGTCATAATGAATGATTGAATTACTCAATTATCAACATATATCATAATGAATCGGATGGGGATGCTGACCTCACGCTTGAGACTGACAGTAGCCCTAGAAGAGCTATAGGCGGATGAATAGTAACTGGAAACAACTGGTAAGGATTTCTCAAGAGAATGCTGGTGGGAGGCCTATTCTCCTCCACGAGGGATAACTGGCGTAAGTATGGAAGCGTTAGTGTTAAACGTCTCAGTTTATAGTGCAAGTGGAGGAAAACTGGATATTACTTATTTATGGTTTGTTTTTTTCTTTAATGAATGACATTCAAATTAAATTCTAATCAAAATACATAAGCACAAAAATTACACAGAGAAACACTGTAAGGTGATATAGCTTGACTCCAACTATTAGAAAACTCATCAAACGTAGTATAATAGAATGTATTTTTTTAATGTTATTTCTAAACTTATGCATGAAACACACTCAAATTTATATAAACTTAAGTTTTTACTTATGAAATTCATACTCTTCTCAGGGTATACATATGAAACCAGAATCTTTCTTTTCACCGAAATACCATTTTTAAAATATGAATTAACTGGTTTCTTTAGTTGATTATGAGATTCTATTGCATGAATACACATAACAAGTAACCTGATGAGCCAAGCCGTATGAAATGGTTGTGTCAAAGTAACAACTTTCATGATGCTAGCAATGACTAATCAAACAATTTCAAAATAAATAATTACTTTCTTTCTTCTTCCAAAAGATTTGTGTCTTGGTCTTAAGAATAGTATACCTTACTTCTTCAATATGAATATTAAATGACAAAACAGTCTTTCGAATAGTCAGAGCTTGACCAATTAAAATGTATGAAACTATTTTGGAGCCTCGGTTTTTGTTTTGTGGTAACTAGTCTAATAAAATTTCGATGTTGAATCTATGATATAAAAGAGTTTTACAAATATATTCAGTTTGTATTATTTATCAAACAGATAATGCCTAGGGAAATAACTTTTTAAATATAAATCTCATATCTTACTCAGTTAATGGCGGTGGATCAGGTAGGGGTTTATTGAAATTATCTTTTCCAATTAACCAAAATGAATCAACTAAACCTTTGCCTTTTAATTCAACTTTACCACGTAATTGTAAATGATAACCGCCCAAAATATCCAGAATTGATTTTGTAGTTGGACTAACATGAATACGAAAAGCTTTAGAAAATATATATAAAAATACTTCATTATTATACTTATATATATAATGATGAATAAGAATTAAGGAAATTATTTCAAAAATAATTAACCAAAGTAGTTCATTCTGTAACGACAGAGTAAAATGTGAATGGTCGATAGTTGTGTCTGGATCTCCGATTTCGTTTTTATTTAATTGATACATAATTCATAAGCAGATAGTTTGGTTTAATAAATTATATATATATATATATATATATATATATATATATATATATATATATATATATATATATATATAGTTGAATTCATGAGTCAATTAAAGCTAGACCACCATTGAAAACGTGTAAGCATTGGATGGCCGTTTCGTTCTAGTATGGGACTCCTCAATAGTGCCCATCCACGATCCCGCTCGCAGGGTTTGAACCCAGGACCTAAGGTCTCGCGCGTGAACTCATTGCTGAGGAGTCTCATACTAGGATGAGGCAGCCTTACAGTGCTTCCAAGTTTTCTATGGTGATCTAGCTTTAATTGACTCATGAATTTAATTATTAAATTGGTACAATTTCCACAAAAATCCCCTTCTGAAAAAATATGTATACATATTCGTATATTTATTCGTTTAAAATTTGGTTTATTCAATTGGGGCTATGAACTCTGTTCCACGCTCAAAGTATCAGTTTAATTTACTAATTTATCGTTAGTATTTTTATCAAATCTATTGAGATGTTGTAACATGAAGTTCTATGTAGTTTTGTATTAGTTAATTAATAAAGGAACTCATTGTGTTATGAACGAATAAATGAAGACAATTTACAGATTGAAATCATGAGTCAGTTGAAGCTAGACCACCATTGAAAACCTGGAAGCACTGGACGGCCGTTTCGTCCTGGTATGGGACTCCTCAGCAGTGCGCATCCACGAAGACAATTTAGCCAAGAAAATTATCTTTCCTATGATTTCATTTATTTAAGCTGAACATTCATCACCACTCTGTTCAATTCTAGCTGAATGTTTCTTTATTGTCAATCTCAAAAGCACTATAATTAGACTAATAATTGACAATTAATATCTTATACAAGTTATATTTAGATAATACTTTCATCATTTGTCGTAAGAATATAGATTTCGATAGCATCCTGAAGGAATTAAACAGCTGCTATCAATCAGTTACGTTTAAAAAAGAGTCAACGTCGAACTTAGAATGACACTTCATGAATGTTTTGTTTAAAAAAAGAAATTTTATAATTCTCTTCGAAGATCACTAATGTAGGGAGCTAATGTAGAACACAAATGTTTAGAGTTTAGTTTTTTTAACTAAAAGAAAAATCTTACTCACTCTTCACGAAGGACAAATGAGTCTGTGCTGATGATATGACTGATATCAAACTTGATGAACTACTTTAGGTACCTATTAACAATGGCTATCCATTGAGAATTATCGACAAAAGTAGAAAGCCAAAAAAAATTTAAAAGATTTTCTTCGACACCGAATTATGCCCTCTTTATGCACATATAATTTAAAGGAGATCTTGGAGTAAAAATTCTGAAAATCAGGCCCTCAAGATCTCTGTAAAAGACATTCCATTCAGCTGAACTTAGTATTATCTTTTCCAGTCGGTCCTTGATTAGTCGTTGTATAGAAGAAAAGCTCCGCTTTTGGACAAACTAATATGCACCCGTCAAATTACCTGCTTATATGGAACAGGTTATATTAGCCACATAAAGTGAGCTCATTCGAAACACATCTACAAACGTTACTCTCACTGGCTATCTAAGTAACTGTACAAGTCAGTCAAACGTTAAATCTTAGGATACCTTGATGATGCGGGTCAATCTGTTTCATCAGGATCCTCCTTCAAAATTAACTTTACAGTTAGGCGAATTGATTCAAAGAGAATACAGATTAAAAACTTTTATATAGCGGAAGCTCTTGATTTCCATCTATTCAAACCTATGTTTTGTGTACAAAAAACAGAATGTTCAGTATCTTAACCTTCCATTCTTAATAATCCAATGTTTTTTACTCCTTTCCACATTGTACCAACTATTAGCTTAACATCATAACACTAATTAATTACTCTATTCTTCGTATTTATCAAGTAGAGAACTATCACTCATCCGTACATCATTTTCACCAGCCGCAAGATTCTTACATAATCTCTGTTCAGTATTTCATTTTCCGTAAAAGTTTATGGTACAGAAGTTTTATTTTTAAATTACACAAGATGTCTTTCTTTATTTACAATCTGATATTTAAAATTTGTTTATGGCTGAAAATTTTTCTCCTTTCAAATGATACAATATCACCCTATTTTAACTTAGGTTATTATTTTAAGTTAAGTTAATCAACTGTAATTGTACAGGACAAGCTGTAAACCACATGCGAAGAAATTCGAACATTTCACTTCTATCTAAAGTTTGTGCTGATGATATCGTTCAGGAGAACGATAAAAGTTTCACGACAAAATCATCCAGCTCATATGGCAAAACTCCATCAAAATCATCCACCTGAACTACGAATCTTCTCCACCGTCTCAAGAGAAAATTAGGATATTTATTTATAGATGGAGAATTCAAGGTTACTATTTGAATTTTATACACTAACTGTTTTGTATTACCAATAAATCTTCGAGTAAGTTACTTCTGTGAATTTTCTAATAGTCAAACTGATAAAATAATGTTTGTGATAATGTAGTTCACCTTAATGAAGGGAAAACTGATGGGATCTTGGGTAAGTACATATAACGGATGTACATAATTTATTACAACGTAATTTTCAAATGTTTATTTTATTTAGCTACATAAACGACTTCTAGATGGTCAAAATTCGAAAGAATGTGTTTCGAGTTTGATAACGTCATTGAGATCAAGCACCGATTTGAGTTGGACAACTATTGAAAAGCTGGTAGCACAATACGGCCACTTCATCCTAGTTTGGTACACGTAACCGGTGCACATAAACAACCTCGCCACTGGGGATCGAACCCTTGACTATCAGTCCCACGAGTGGTCTCTGTTGATCACTGCTTCTTACTAGAATTCCATAAATTTCTTGTTGTCGCTAGTCATTAGTGAGCACATGATGATTATCAGTATGGGAGTTGTGAAGATCACTGGACGTTACTGAGACCACCAAATGATCTAAGTTAGACAACTATTGAAAACCTGAATGATTCTATAGAACAGATTCAAAAATAGATATCAGTTGTTCTAATCAAGTGTTAAGAATTATGAATTAACGAATAATTTAAACAAATGGTATCTTATAGTTACACTGCACTAAATTTGGGTGTACTTTCAATATGTTACATTTAATATTTTTATTAAATCATATCTATCCGAATAGACTAGATGTAATGCGGTTATTAACAGACAAAACAAAGCTAATTTAGTTTAGAGTAAATTATCAAAACTATTGTGAAGTTTAGCTATGATTTATTATCAGAAAGGGGTTTTATGGAGATCTTAATAAATTTATAGTTGAATCTATGAGACCACCATGAAAAACATGGAAGCACTGGACGGCCTTTTCGTCCCAGTATGGAACGAGATCGTGGATGCGCACTGTTGAAGAGTCCCATATTTGGACGAAACAACCGTCCAGTGCTTCCAGGTTTTCCATGATGGTTTGGCTTTAATCGACTCATGAATTCAACTATCATTTATTATTAATAAGATGTTTATTAGTGATCAAAAACTGACTTTTAATCAAATGTGATATCAGTCATGAATCATAATTTATGATAAGAATTTACCACATAAAACAGCATGAATAATTTTCTACATCTGTGAATGTAATGTAGTTTTTCTAGTGGCATTTAATCTACCACACTTTTTATAACCTGTCTTCGTTTACTTCTTATTGTCAACCTGACGATCAATAAAGACGAATACTTATATGAGTTTTCTAGACTTCTCTAGTGTATAACCAGATATTAGACAATATTATTCTACCTTTGAAACAGTTTTCAACAATAAACATTTGAAACGAAAACTAAAAACAACAAGGAGGTTAAAGTTTTCTAATTTTGTCACAAAATTGATACATCATCTGATATTTAAGAAAGATATCGGAATAGTTGTGTCGAAATTTACCAGATCCTGTTGATTCCATTCTAGATGCAGTGTTCACTGTATCTCCAAACAAACAATATCGCGGCATTGTTAATCCAACTACACCAGCAACACATGATCCTAAAGTCAAAAATACGTAAATGAATTATGCTTTTTAGTAAAATATTAAATCTCTAAGATACTCATCATAATGTTTGTAAGATTATAGCAACTCAAGTGCAATTGACTTTGTTCTCATTTGACTCAGTTAAGCCATTTTGTTAACTTATTTATTCGACAAAGTCATCCTTACTGTAACAACTTATTGTACCTTTATTATTGCTGTGCTTGCATGAAATTTGTATGCTTGAACATTGCTTACCGCCTATCCATATATTCATTCTGCTAGCGTTATTATTAACTGCCTAATTGATTCGATGATCCATTCATTTCACTATGTATATATATTTACATTTACACTCTACACACTCTACATTCTCGATTTGCTGACTCCCTCATTTGCCTCAATGCTTTGTGGTATGAGTTATCTGCTAATAAATCTGTAGTCGCTGCTTCTCTTTGCCTTCTGATTTCAAACACCGTTGAGGATTATATGATAACGGTTACGAGGGTGATTGGTCAACGAAGCACACCCACTACAAGATATTTAAAGGATTTTCATAAGATTATTTTAGTTTTGTTAGAATACTCGGTGAATAAATTTCATTTCATTCTAATGATTTAATTGCCATGAAGAAATTCAACTGATACTTTATTCATAACTGTTTCAAGGAGGACTAACCAAACATTTGACTTTCTATTTTCGAACTGTACATCTATTAAAGTTCCTTACTGTAGATTTATTTTAATGAACTAATCATGTATGTATAAAGCGCTAAAATTAATGCGGATGCTTATCGAAAGTGATCGGAATATGCTATGATTTCAGGTACTATAAGATAAGTGTGGGAGAACTCGAATAGTTAGCATGTTTTCATTCTAAACTATTCTTTTGTGTAACTACAGCAACATAAATTGAGATTATACAGCAAGACGATGATTGAACACTTTCAGTGTTGATGATAAATAAACACTATCAGAAGATATTTTAATGCATATTTTTCATAAATACAAATGAGATATATATCTAAAAGGAATTTATAGAAGTAATGAATATTTAATTCTAAGAATTCTTCGCTCTAACCAAACGTGGGATATTTAATAAAGCGGTTATTATTAACAGAGACTAATCACAGCCTGTGAAAAACCTATAGTATAAAACAAAGATAATTTCCTCTATTTCGATCAATACTACTGTTTGATGTATTAAATTAGAATAAAATTATGATTGATAGTCTCATTTTTGAAAACATCGAAAGTTTATAAGTAAAAAGATTTAAGATCAAAAAGTGATCAGTATCTCAAGTAGAATACAGCCGAATGAGTCTTGCGGTTATTAACATAAGCAGTAATGTGGAAATTTGCCTCTAGTCAGAAAGTATTATGTCAGTCAGTCAGTCAGCTACAACGTAGGACCAGGCACATGTATTCATCGGTCCAAGTTGCCACACCTCATTAGCACAAGATGAACACCGAATTCATAGAAGTAGTTGCCTCAATGGTGGTAATATATAAAAGAAAGATTGTGTATAAGAATATAATATAGGAAGAAATAATAAGTTGGTAGAAAGAAAGATATAAAATAATTTTAATCTCATGGTTTAAGGGAAGAAAAAGTGTTGGCAAAAAGCAAACGAGCCTTTTGAATCCGTTCAGAGATTTCGTCAGACACCAACTCATTATGGCTGATCAGACTTCCAAGATAAGTGAAGTTGTCGACGCATTTAGAGGTCGCAATGTCAGATGACAGTTCGCCATAAGCTCTGACTCGGCTGATAGTATTTGTGTATAGAGACTTCATAACGTTTATGAGGTACACTTTTTAATGAAAGACACTGTCACAGAACCTCTCGGTCTACAGAGTCAAATGGTGATTCTAAGTCAAGAAAAACTATCATTGTCAGGCGCTGACAAGCATGACAAATAGTGAATATATGGTCAATGCAGCCACAACTAGGAATGTATTATGTAAATAATTTTGAAATTGTAATATTATCTAATCATCAAATATGAGGGATGTGATTTTTAGTTAGAAAATTACAATCAAATGGATGAAGTGCCTGTTAAATAAGGAATGAGACTAGAGATTTCGTAAATAATAAACAGGATTAATCAATGTAAGGAACGAGCTTTTAAGACTAAAGAAAATGAATTATGAGCTACGTTCAGAAATGCAGAAAACTGGATAACATACTAAAAATTTCAACCTTAAATATACACCGAGACTCAGGAGAAAAAGAGAGAGTAATCGAAATGCATGTCAATTACTCTACCGATTTGTCCAAATAAAGGATAAGTGGCTTATTGTAAAAAAACTAATTTAGCTATGTATGGTAAGAAAACTGTTTAAATATTATTCATGCTACTTAATATAAATAAGTAGCACGATCACAAGGCTTAGAAACAATGAATAGTTAAAAACTTGAGAATGACAACTCCAACTAAAAGGAATCAGCCAAGGTGGAGACAGTTCAGTATTTAGTTGGAAGTTATACATATATATTAACTGTTACAAATAATATAGCATAAATTTTGTGAAATGCTCGAAGATCCTCTAGAATAAATCGATTTGTCGGTAGTAGGAGAATTATAAGAGCGTTTCATCCTAGTTGGGACTCATCAGCTAGATGTTTCTGCATCCTATTGCTCATGATTTAAGGCCTTTTACACTAATAATACGAAAATATTCGCATGAACAACTTATCATCACGTTAAAATAATTGATCTACCTGAATGTAATCCAATGCGTAAACGAAGTGGTACATCTGGCATATGACGAATTACAAATGTTCCACATTGACTCAACAGATCTAAAGCCATAGTAGCAATTTCTCCCGCATGCAACTGACCATTACGTATTGGTAAACCGGAGACAACCATGTATGCATCTCCAATTGTCTCAACCTTAATAAACAAAGCAAGTATAGTTTTACATAAATTCGGTAAACTGTCAATTTTCAATCATTTTATTGCATTAGAAAGTTATGTCACTAGATCCTTTCAAACTTATAAACGTACAGTAAATCGTTACATTAACTAAAGGATATCACGAATTATAAATTGCTCCTATTCAAATAATAAGTCATGGATCAAAGCATGAATGAGTTTAATGTAAAAACTATTTTTTCTCTGATGTGTAGAAAGGGGGGGCGGCAAAACTCGTTACTTTTAACGTGAAATGAATTTCTTCATGTGAATCTTATCTTAACTGTGTTAAATAGTTCTTACTATTGTTATATCCCCTATTGTCCATTAGATATTATCAGTTAACAATAAATACGTTACATGCTATTGTATCTACAGTGTCTTGGTAATTAACAAAATGTAGTTGGTTGTAGTCTTTTATTCTGTTTTTTATCATTAATGTAAGTTTAGAGCTTAAATAAGATGAGTACTTGTGACCTATCGTCTTATGATTGTGAGAGGTTGACTATGAATGCGTAAATTATTTAACTTCCGTTTTCTGAATGGAGGTCTTGAAATAATTTATTTATCTTCTGTGTCAGATCAATTTATATTATTAAATCCAATAAAATTGGAATGATCTATATCAGCTTCAGTTATATTGAGACATCGATAGCGAATGGCTTTTTGAGTTAACGTAAACAAAATCTCAGTGACTTGTTATGATTATTACAATATCAACAATAATTGTGCTATTTATTTTTGCAACTTGGCAGTTTCATGTAACTGACATCGATTTCTTTGTTTCGTAAAATACTTTATACACATTGTGCTTTATTTCACTTTCTCCTCAAAAAATGAAAGCCCTCTTAAAAGTTTCATTTATTCTAGCTCAGACTTTCTGGCTACCTGGTTGTTGGACTGGAAAAGGGATGATTTCGTATGGGCTGTTGAATGTGGTGAGTGTTAGATTTACTGGACTCATAAATATCGCTGGCATAAGTGCATTCAAAATGGTAACATTTATTTAGACTTCTAAGAAAGAGCGTACTTTTTCTGATGTTATTATTATTATTATTAATGATCTTATTCAATATTAAATTCTTGGTACTGTATACAATTCTCCGGACAAGGTATATCAACTAGTTTATTTTACAAAGAAAAGGAAAAAAGTGAATGAAATTGATAACTGCATAATTATAGACATGAGTTAAGTGGACAAACGACCTAGAACGAACTGAAATGTTTTTCTAAAGAAGATTTGAGCCTGTACGTTTTAGTTAGAAATATGTCTAGGAATATAAGTTGTTGACTAGATCAGCGTTAACAACCTGTTCTTCATATAGAATATTTACTAGATAAGGTATTGTAGAGCTTTTATATATTTGCTTGCGTGTATGGATTTTAATGAATTGACGTCTCGTCCTACCACAAGATATGCAAGGAGAAGGATATCTGATAACACCTGCCAAGAGTTTGCAAGACTTTAGATGTTTATCCACAACCAAATCGATAATGACCTCAAAAAAGTCACCACACACCCTGCCAACTACCTTCAGCGCTCCTCACAGTACAGCAAAATCTTTTATCAATAGCCCGTGGAAGAATAATGGAAACCAGTAAAGAATCATGGGTAATATGCAAGAATTAACAAATTGTAAGAGGAAATGTCGAGATCACGTGCAGTTCAAATTAACGTAGATGTTCGTAACATGAACATGATTGTGCTTATTCAAATGTTTTAGATAGTATCTTAAAGTTAAACAGTTCACAAAGTCGTTTGAAAACTGACAACGTAAAAAGTAGATCGACACCAATCCACGTTTACAAATGTAGCTGCACTGTCGCAACACCTTTTCTTATTGCTTGGTCGATCGTGACAATAAATAATGATATCTTGTAGTGATACCAAGCAATCGTCTTATAAATCACTTGCTCAGGATTCTTGAATTGTAATTACATCACAGTAACGATACATGTTTTGATTTACTAAGAATTGAAGATAGTCCACTTTGCCAATTAGCTATCGGCAGTCAGAATTTAGGAGTTTATAAATCAGTATCTGATCAATATTCAATTTTGATATATATTCGCGTTTAATGCAAAGCAGTATGTTTTTCTAGCCTATCTTCTTTTCGAAACACCCGATGATTTATATTTACACCCACTGATACAATCTACTATATTGAAACGCCTAGTTATCACATCCCTAACTCCTTATCATTAATGAAGCTGACTCATTATAAATTCGCATTCTAAATAAATTACTATAAAAGTAAAATTTTGGAGACTCTGGAATAATTTGCCACAATCTGTTCATGGAACAAAATCACTTCCATCTTTTATCTATTTTATCAATCTTTACGTCTCCTATAGAAATGTCATAAATGTGCTTGCATATTTTAGTATATCCCATTCCACTAGAGAAATGATAGGAAAATGATATGTTTAGTTATTGTTATTACTGAGCCCACTTATTAAATATCTCTTCCTGAAGATATTTTACACTTATACCATTTGTGGTAAATTTAACAGATTTATACAATGTTTATGCCAAACGGTAGATCACAAAACAACCTAACAAATTTATAAGAGTAGACTCATAATAGTTAATATCGCTGATGTTGTTCTGTGATCACTGTTTACAGTTTCTTTCCATTAGTTGTGAATTTAACGAAGACTTTGTGGGGAAGACCAATATATTGCTTAATGCAAAATTACAGAATTCCTTCGTAAAATATGTAAACCATCTATGTTCAGTTGTCATTTACATGCTTCGTGATTCTTCCAATTCCGTTGTTATTTTAATTGCTCTCTATTTTCCTTTCTGTCCTCTTCAATTCAATCTTCTGTTGGTAGACATTCCATTTGAGATCGGTGTTACATACAACTTATATCTTTCAGCAAAAATAGCATACACCACATTTAGAGGTGATCATATTTACTCTTTGGTAGCATTGGAAATGACCCTAAATACACTACTCATACATCGACAGGATGTCTTATTAAAAAGAATTGACGGTTCCCAACTGATCCCTAACATTGTTGTAACGCATATGAATAATGTACTCCCTTACCAATTTTTGAACTATAACACTTCAAACAATCTGTTCTTTTCATTTAACATTACTATCATTATTAACCTGATCATGCTTGTATATTGACATGAATCCTGTAATTGTTTTCAAAATAATATATTTATTTATTTTTTGTCTCTATACTTTTCATAAATACATAATTACTTAGACCAGTGATTTGTTTCATTCCACTGCTCAAATGATTATATCCAGAGTAAGCTTAAATGAATTCATTTGTACAATGCCTTCTGTTCTTGGTCAGAGGTATTTATGTGAAATATAATGTCTATAAACAGATCAAATCAAAGAAAAAGACTTTCAACGGGAGTGACTGATATGACTACGGATTAAACCATTTGAGTTGAATACATCATCCACATTTTAAATATTACTTGTTCTTGAAGGTTGGTTGCTTACTTCTTTTTTATTCATCTTCTAAGACAAAGTTTGTGAGTATAGATTGTAAGGATTTTAAGATTACAACTGCTAGTCCCTGAAAGATGTGCCATGTCAAAAATTGACAAAAGTTAAAAATACAAACCAGGGTATTCTGATATCTGTGATCTAGAGGCTTTGTAGTTCACAGCAATACTTATAAATTCTAAGCAGGCAACTAATTAAATCAAACAACACCTGATAACATAGTAATGATGTACAATATTTACAATTCACATTCATAAATCATTCAAAAACACTTACTTTATATACATCATAAAAGTCAATTGTTGAATCAAACATTGTATAAAGGTCGTTTAACAAATCAACAACTTGAAATGGTGTAGACAATGCAGATATTGTTGTAAAACCAACAATATCACTGAAATAGATTGTCACTTCATCAAATGCTTCAGGACAAACGGGTTTACCAGACATTAAAGTTTCCGCTACAACACTGTTTAATATAAGAATAAATAATAAAGTTTTAACAAAGAGTAGACAGTTTCCAACAACATAAGCATATTAGATTCATAAAAGGAATTTAATTTGAAATGGTCTAGAGTGCAAGTAAATCTGGCTGACGAGTCCAAAATAAGACGAAATGAGTGTCCTAATTTCACTGAAAGCCATATTTGGCCTAATTCGTATGTAATTTTATATCTATTATCCGAACGCAATAACACTTCTCAGAGTAAAATGTTTTTTGTAAATTTATGTTTTAATCAGAGAGCGGTTTTGTGAATATTATAATAATTTAGTAGTTGACTTTATGAGTCAATTGAAACTAGTTCACCATGGAAAAGCTGGAAGCACTGGACGGCAGTTTAGTCCTAGTGTGGGACTACTCAGAAGTGCGCATCCGCTATCCCGCCTCGCGAGATCCGAACCTAGGACATATTGGTCTCGCGTGAGGACGCTTAACCTCTAGACCACAATTTCATAGATTGGTTGAAGTTAGACATTAACACTATTGCATGCCGGCTAAGTGATTTAGAGATTGAATGTTCGCGCACTAGACCGATAGGTTCTGGGTTCAAATCTCGCGAGGCGAGATAGCGGATGCGCACTTTTGAGTAGTCCCACACTAGGACGAAACTGCCGTCCAGTGCTTCCAGCTTTTCCATGGTGGCTTAGCTTCAACTGACTCATAAATTCAACCACTAAATTTATTTTTTTCTAGGTAGCTAAGTTAAAATCTAATAATCTACATTTTTAACTTCACACTATGATTTTTTTATTTCGGTCGGTGATAATTATATTACAGTAGACATAATTAAACTTTATCAGTTAGCAATAACCTAACTAAAATCCAATCAGCATTGAGCATATGACTATTGTTTAGTTCATCAGGTTGGGATGATTGGTTCTGATGCCTAAGATATAGTAGAATTAATATTCATGACCTTGATTTTTCAAAATTTTGATGTTGCAATATAGACATGGCCACAAACAAGGTCAGTAATTTGAAATGTTTGCAGTGTTATAATCATCTAATTTTTGTCTAATATATGTGTAGTATAAGCTACTTATGCTGACAAATATAATATGTATGTAACATCAATCTCAAGTGGAATGTCTACCAACAGAAGATTGAATTGAAGAGAACAGGAAGGAAAATAGAGAGCAATTAAAATAACAACGGAATTAGAAGGATCATGAAGCATGTAAATGACAAGTGAACGTAGATGGTTTACATATTTTACGAAGGGATTCTGTAATTTTACATTAAACAGTATATTGGTCTTCCCCACCTTGGTTTTCGTCGATTACATATGCAGTGGTATCAGTCCTGTTTGAGGAGACACAAAGTCAATAAAAAGAGAACTGATCAGTTAACACATCTGACTTTCAAATACAGTTCATAACCTAAAATACCAACACTGTCTAATTCTACAATAAATTCTTAGATGATCAGGACAGAGTACCACCGTCTCACTTGTGCATGATGTCGAATACATATGAATTGTCAAATGATAGTAAGGCGATTGATGACGGGGGTAGCAAATTTAATCAAAGACCAATAGCATTTATTGACATATTTCTTTCTGAACTTCTCAGAAAATGCTTACTGGAAATGTTTCACTGTATTTTGTTCTGATGATTCTTTTTAAAAAGAGAACTGTTCATAATTAAACTATGTTACTCAGAGAACGCAACTTCATTAAACTAATAGCTAAATTTAATTATTGTATTTATTTAAGACTTACGGAGGAAGCATCCTTGCTATTAGTAATTCAGTCTTTTTCTTTTCAGTTTCTAATTCTTCTGTACGAACACGTACTTGATCTTCTAAGTCAGCTGAATACTTTTCCATCATCTTGAACATATGATCTACGATGTTGATTTTTCTAAAATAAACGAATCGTTAGGACTATTTTTATATTGATCCCAAATAATAATATAAATATTTATTAAGAGATATCTAAATAAAGTTTAGTCTAGAGTTTGAATATCCTACACTTGGAGTTATTCACCCAAGGTAATCAACATGTCATAGAAACTCGAAAGAAAACTGGAGTAAATCTTCCTTTCTTGACATGTGACTCATGATGTCATCAATACTAAATCGTTTTGCTATCGATTTTAAACATGTAAAATTCATTGAAACATTGAATGGTCAAATACTAATTGATATCGTGAGCTAATCAGAAGTAGCCAAATGAGAAGGTCAGTCGATATTCATCAGAAGTGACTTGAAGGACAAATACGTATCATTGACTAATAAATCGATTGATTTTCTATGGGATATAGTTGTATACATATATCAATGAGTATTTCTGCATTTTATTTTGTAGCCCGATATACTTTCTCTTCAACTCTTGTGTTATTGCTCAAATAGTTATTTGGGGGGTTAGCACGCAGCACGTCGTGTATCAGTATCAGATTTCGGACACCACCCATTACAGCACTAATCATAACTGTTAATACTAGAACTTTAGATAAGTTGAAATTTATTGATAGTTAAAACTAACAGTTACTTTTGAAACGATCTTTAAATGTAATTAGCAAAAGAAACAAGAAGTTTAGTTTTAAAAATGATATCAGGTTTTTCAAGCAAACATTCTAAAATTAGGTTAGGTATTTACAAACTGAGAGCTAATGTTTAGCATTTAGAGGTAGAGAAATAAATTGATTCTAATTATTTTAAGAAATCAGATAACATAGTACTCCATCATATGGTTAACCTGAAGCTTGTACTGATGATGTCATTCAGAAGAACGATGAAAGCTCCACGACTAAACTATCCAGCTCAGAGTACAAAACTCCATCAAAAAAGGTTAACCTGTACGTTTATCTTTGTGAAAATCATGTTATAATTATAATATGAAATGAATTTGTTATATTGAAGAATAAAACTATGGAAATGTAATAGAAAATATAGGTGATAATCAAATTTTAAACTAGATTTATGACAGTTGATATAGTAATGTTCATTACAGTGGTGGTTTAATTGATAAAAACATACTGAGTTTATTGTTTGTGTGTATTTTTGAGTGCATTTCGACTTCATGGATCCAAATATACACTTATGTCGTGAAATTTAAATGATGGAAGAACTATCATTGTGATGTTCAGAAAACGGAAGGCTGACAATGGACAGATTTTGGAAAAATATATATAACGAGTAGATAACTTTAATAGATAACTTTGTTACTAGACTCACTAAAAAAATCAATGAACCAACTTTTATTCCATACATATTCCATTCATTTAAATGTAATGATGATTAATATCCAAATCATTCAATAAACTTACTTTCCTTGATTAAGTTGTCTAAGTTGTTGATAGATTTCTTCAAATGTTGGTCTCATTACAGGACTTTCTGCCCATGCACGTTTCATAAATTCTAAATAAGCTGGGGGAGCTTCAGACTGTGAAACCTTAATTGACAAAATAATACATAAATATATTAAACATAAGAGAAAATTTTGAAAAAAAAATAAATTGTGGTTATAGAGGTAGTAGGAATAATAATAATAGTCATAATTAAATGATTGAATTTTTATTCCAGTATCCACAATTGATCACGATCATTGAATAATGCTTTAGCTATCAATAGCCACTTAGAATTGGGATATTATTACTATTAGTGGCTTTATTCAATATTGTATTTTTGTTACAATATAGAATTCTCAGCACAAAATATTTCAAAAAGTTTCCTTTTCTTATTTCTTGATCGATCCTGGTGATAAATATTGAGTGGTCGCCACTTAGATGTTAGCAGTTCAGGAATAGACATCTGAATAATTTTTATTCTTTTCAATGAATATTACTGGCAACCACAATCTCTCTGATTAGGATCTTTTGTAATTTGTACAGCGAAATGTCGTAAACGTTTCACAAACGTACCTGAATAGGTTATGCGGTTAATAAGCATAATGATGTGTTAAAACACACAAGGAAACAGATAACTTATTGAAGTATCCAGATGGCAGGAATTAGGTAGCCCACATATTCAAGCAAGCCACCTTGATTGTAATAAAATGGTTACAAAGTTATAAGTATTTAAGTAACCTAACTGCTTATTTTCTACTAATCTTGAGATATATAACCATATCATTTCTAAAATTTGTCTGATGAACAATTTTTTTATGAGAAATGTTTGAGTACAGATGAATAACAGAAAGCTATTTTATTTTCATTTGGAAACACTTCAATAGTTCATTTTCATAGTGGATAAAACGTCACTTAGAAGAATTTGTATGTTATTTGTTGATAAGATAGTTTTAAACATTATTCCTTGGTAAAATATAGAGATTGTATATTGTTACTTGTATGTATTCCCCAATTCGAATATAAAATTACGTATTAGTGTACGAAATTGTTACCTATTTAGTTTTTTTTCTTTTAACAGTAATCAAAATCAAGAATGATTAATCATAACACTAACTAATGATATAATTGAGAAAAAGTGTTATTGAGACCATGCATTTTGATGAGTAAAATGCAAACCCAATTGTTAGTCCGATTGAATGTACAACCTAGACTAGCTATAATGTAAACCATTAATTCTGGGAGATCGCCTTTGAACTGATATGACTCGAAACATAGGGTAAAATCAAAATAACATGTGAAAATTTGTTTATATGACCAAAATAAATCAAGATAACTTTAAGCAATGACGGGTTTAATGTCAATAAGAACCATATCAACATCAAGATCTACAGGACAAACTGTGAGCCATATATGAAGAAATTCGAACACTTCACTTCTATCTGAAGTTTATGCTGATGACGTCGTTCAGGAGGACGATGAGAGCTCCACGACCAAACGATCCAACTCATAGAACAAAGCTCTATCAAAATCATCCACCTAAGCTATAAATCTTCTTCACCGTCTCAGAATTTCAATCCATCATTAGATTATCACTAACTCATATCATGAACACAAGTTTTCAACAGTGTAAAATCAAAATCTCATCATTAATATATATAACTGACTAATTCAATTATTTGGTAGGATCGCGGCAACAACTAATAGTGTAATATTTCAGTACTTACTTTTGGTCGACACAGTGGTGGTGGTTTACGAACTTTACTCAATATTTCTGATGCACTTAATCCAAGCATTCCATAAGGTTCATCCCGTGTAATAATTTCTTGCATCACAATAGAAAATGAATAAACATCACCTTTCGGGCTGCCATTATAAATATTTGTTTCTTCTCGTAAATGTTCTGGTGCTGTCCATAACCATTCTGTATTTATTGTTTCAATAGAAAAAAAGGAAGCATATAGATTTAAATTCAATTTTAAGAACGATTTCTGAAAAATATAGATGAGGGTTTCATAATGTCGTGAATTGGTTATATTTTAGTATTAATACCGTTGGATTTCGGCTTAGTTGTCTTGAAGTTAAGAGCTCGTATACGAGACCGAATGTGCGGAATTCGATTCTTGGACGTTGGGTCGCGGAGACGTACCACCGGAGAGTCCCATACTGAGACTAAAAGCCCATCCAGTACTCCTAGATTTCAGTGGTTGTCTAACCAAAATGAGTTTGTGATTTAAACTAAGAAAATTCTCGATTTTCTTATCTAGGGTCGATTCATTGTGTTTGACGATGATTGGATATACACACAACGCACGTTATTTGAATTGTAGATGGTTAAAGCTCAAGAAGCCTAGAAAGGAGGTTAACATATACACCTCTTGAGATCTTTAGCTGATTTTATAAATAGTATGAAAGGATTAATCGGTGAGTGAATGTTGATTATATGTTGCAGAATCGATGACTTACACTGAGTGATCCTTCCGAATGCAACGAAGTAGTATTCTCTACTAACGACCTTTGTTCCTAGCTTCATGAGAGCAGGTGAATCGTTATAAGCACATTGTATGGGCCACTCTTAGGAAATTATCTTCGTATCAGATAATAAAAGAAAGTTACTGTATTAGTTTATATAGAGGTTCTCTGAGTTAGGTATTTTTCTAATCAATCCCTTTGTAAATATCTCCTTTAAACTATAATTTTCCAAACAGTGATTACTCTTGGAAAGTGGCTTTAGTTTATGAAGGCTGCTTATAATATCACGAGCATAAGGAATGAATCAGATTTCATATTTTTTAGTTATTGGGATTCAACTGTAAACCGTCCATCTCATAAATGTTTTCTATATAATAGATCTTTGTGTCGATCCGTTATTTCCTTTAGTAAATAGGATATAAAATTGGAAGTTTTCGATAAGATTTTTGTCAGACTGCGAATTAACGTAATAGATGAGAGTTATTAAGAGTGTATGGAATATCTTGGATATCAAACTTCTCATCATATATAATTAGTGTATCAGCAACATACATCCTTTAAAACGCAGTTTACAAATTTTCGTGTAGTGTCCGTTGATATTCTAAGTCCACATAGTTTATTCTAGCTTCTGGACAGGCCGATCTATTCATTCTTCTTAAGTCACGTTTTGATCTTGTTAGTTAGTCACTTGTCAACCCTGACTGTTTTTATATGAGCGTATGTGTGTGTACATCTCATCTTACTCATCACATGTCTGTAACTTACTTTATTTCTGACTATAAACATCGAGTCACTCTTGATTAAGACGAGTTGACTTACATAGCGTATCCACCGTGCGCCATTTCGCTTCGCTCTCTCCTCTTCGCTTCTTTCTTCTTTTTGTCTATCCAGGTCAATAAGTGTACGAAATAAACGTATTCAAACCTCATTTTCTCGTTCGACATATTAAATTCCATTATTTACTAACATGATTTAAGTCGATAATTATGTACGAGGATTGGCGACATATTTACATTTCGATAACAATCATTCATACGATCGTCATATGATCGAACTAGAGTCAAGTATACGAGGGTCACTAAAACTCTTTAACACATATGTACATGATATGATCGTACAGCTTTTAAAATAAACTCGTTACTAGGGAATTTTTCCCTGAATAAATGATTATAATTCTAAATCTATTCAGGAGTTACATTTCTGTAATGAATTAATGATTAAAAGTTTGAATGTAAAATCTAATAAACAGAACAGTCTGTGATAATTTAATGGAAAACTCATTCGACAAGAATAAAATTGGTTAACTAACCATTATTATGTCTATAAAAGATATACATTTAATAATATACATTTGACCAATGATTCTTATCTTTGACGTCGAGTCAGCTTAGATCAATCCGATCACCTTTAGTGGCTTCAATAATTTCAACAAATCATTTGTTTCTTCTTAATATATTTAAATTAATAATTATTGGCTAGACTATAATTTATGAACGAACCAATCAGATATAAGGTAACAGGCCTCGGATTTTGGCACGAAATTCACTCATCCATTTGGCTAAATAGAGTTTTGACATTATAGTTGATGTCAGTTCGTGATGAAAACCTTAAATATAATAAAAAACCTTAATCATCAACTGTAACATTCAGTTGATCCTTGATATTAGGTGAACACTCTATAGGTCAGTCTAGCGTCGCTCAAAGGTCGTACATAAATTATAGTCTCACCTAATTAGTTTGATAATATGATTTAACAGATTATAACAAGTATCGATGTATATAAATAAAAGAAATTCTTAAAGAGGAAGAATATATTTGTAAAATCTCAGCGAATGAATTTGAAGTAAATCCATACATTCCTCCTCTTTAATGTCTCACATCAACTCGGCGCCCAAATACTCTGAAACTATTCGATCAAATTTAGAAGTAAGTTCTTATTTAAACAAATTCTTATTGTAAAATCAGTTAAATAATCATTTGATAAAAAAAAACATAAATAACAAAATATTAAGTAATCTTTACTGTCATACCTTCATCTTTCATCTTTCTTTTAGTACCATAAATGCCGAAGATTTCTGTTAATCCATAATCGGTTATTTTTACAACCCATCGACCATCTACACAACAATTTGTAGATTTAAGCCAACCATGTTTTTTAATTGGAGATGAATGAATATATCTCATACCCTATTGAATATATAAATAAATATATTTATTTATGAAACAGACCATTTGCTATGCAATTGATGTTGTTTAAATTGTAATTGTAATATATTGTAAATACTACTTAGATGTATATGTATAGTAAGAATATAAATCATTGTAAGACTACTCTAATGCATCAATAAAGCAATTGTATTCCGATTATAGAAAATAATAAAAAGTTACTTTAAATAACTGTTGAAAGAATATTTTTTTAATTGATCATAGTAATTAATGTAGCGCTTCCAGTGCTTCCAGGTTTTCCATGGTGTTCTAGCATCAGCTGACTTATAAATTGAACTATTAAATTGCTTAAGTCTCCACAAAACCCTCTTCTGATATTAATCATTATGTGCTCACTAGTGACTGACTTTATGAGGTATTTCGTGGAGTTCTAGTGAGAAGCAGTGACTAGTGGAGTTTAACTAGGTCTGCCTTGAGATAGTAGCTCACTGAAGACAATGGCAGACAGTTGTGCAATATCGTGTAATGGTTGATGTTAGACATTAACAGCATAGGATGCTGGCACAGTGGTTTAGAGGTTCACGCGCGAGACCGATAGGATCTAGGTTTGAATCTCGCAGGGAGGAATCGTGGATGCGCCCTGCTGGGGATTCCTATGATAGGACGAAAGGGCCGTCCAGTGCTTTCAGGTTTTCCATGGTGGTTTCAGACAGTCAGTCAGCAACGTAGGACCAGGCACATATATGCATCGGTCCAAGTTGCCATATCTCATTAGCACAGCAAGATGAACACCGGATTCATAGAAGTAGGTAATTCAATGGTGGTAATATATAAAAGAAGGACTGCATGTAAGGATATGATACAAGAAGAAGGAATTAGTTGGTAGAAAGAAAGAAAGCAATTTTAATCTCATAGTTTAAGGGAAGACAGAGAGTATATACACCCGTGCCATTGTGATCGATTCTGATACATATCACTCAGGGTCTTCAACCATTGGCTACAATAGTCACGCGGACCTCAACCAAGTAGTCTGCATCTACCAACATGGCTAAGACTGGAAGTTAGTGGCTTCAAGTACTGGTTTAGCTTCGATTGAGTCATGAATTCAACTATTAAATTAACATAGTGTTTGACAATAAGAGTGAAAGTTCCATTTTTAAAATACGTTCCTTATATTATTGTTAAGTATTCATGAATCTTTAATGTAGGAACTGGAAAACTGTCATCGTTAGTTTATATGCAGAATATATTAAAACATTCAATTTTTACTATTCTCATCAATTAAACAAAGATTTCTACTTTTAATCCCAAACTATAATATTCATTCTATTGACTTCATGATTATAATTCCTAAACTTCAGTTGATGTGCCATAATTAGCGCCTCATACTTTGGTACGTGAATTAAGCTCCTAAGTTGTTAGATTTAAATAAGTTATCTTAATCATGCATTAGAAAGTATGTATGTATGCCTTCAAGATTTCCGAGCATTCTTTTTCGTCGTTACCATTCACAAAGGCATCGAATCAGTTTCTGTTAAAATCTGTGCAAAATGAGCAGATTTCAAGCCCGAACTCTGCGTGCTAAAATACTTCGTCAAAATTTTCATCGTTCCTTGGCTTTAATTCCCTTCTATAACATATATTGACCATACAACTGTAAATATGAATGTACAGCTTAAGTTAATGATTTTGTTGGAGGAGTCCCATACAGGAAGCGACGATCATCCAGTGCTCCCATGTTTGAAATGGTGGTCTAGCTCAGATCGGCTTGTGAATTCAACAATGTTATCAACAAGTCAAGTGTAGGGCCAAATATTAAGAAATATATTCATAAAACTATAGTCATTCTAATAGTTAGATGTGTTTGCTTCAATGTGATCAACTTGAGTCAAATAAACTAAATATTATGTAGTAAACGTCAATCGCAAAAAACGTTTCGCTTGATCACACTATGCAAACTAGGGATCAATGACTTTTTAATTTGATGCAATCACTTGGATTAACCACTATTTTTCGTTCATTTTTTGATATGACAATTATTTGGGTTGACAACAAGTCCTACAAAGTAACTAATATTTATGCACAAATAAAATGTCTAAAATATTACTCACTTTGACGACATCCGTTATTAAGGAAAGTTTAAATTCCCAATCTAAATTTATGGACTCTTTCTTGATTATATCCTTGAAAGAAAAAAAATAAACAGGATTTAATATTGGTACAGTATTATATTTGATAGTATAAAACCAAAATGGGTAACACAATAGATTAGGTAATTTTTTTGAAATTTTTCTTAGCATTTTGCAAGTAAACATCTACATGACTTAAGGTTAGACGTCTTATATATTATATGCATACAAACATTATATATATTATGTTTATATGCATACTTTAAGTGGATTTGTAAAAGAAAATTAAGTTATTATGGTATGTGCTACTGATGTCGACAGATATAAGTAGTATGTATCATAAGTCAAAAGTGAAATCTCTGAAGGCAGTATGCTAAGAAGATCAAAGAGAAGAGAACAAAGATAGAGAGTGATTGATATGAAAACTAAGGAACAGTCAAGTCTGAGACGATTGATTGACATTTGGCGAATGAAGAACTTACTGTATGGTTCTCAGATTTTACTAAGATATTTTGTAATTTTGTATTCAAATATATTCGATTATCCCCCATTTGTGTTCTCGTTCATTACATTATCACTACGGCTTTGATTGACATGAATAATATTCATTAAAAACTAGCAAACAATCTCATTAATAAATATCACACTGTTTATCACCAATGAATAATAATGATTAGATAGTAATCACCATTGGATGCTGGCTCAGTGATCCAGTAGGTTAAGCGTTCGCGCGCGAGACTGAAGGCCCTACGTTCGAATCCCACGAGCGGGATCGTGGATGCGCACTACTGAGGGACCCCACAATGGGACGAAACGGCCATCCAGTGCTTCCAGGTTTTCAAAGGTGGTCTAACATCAATCAGTTCATGATTTCAATCAAAAAACATAATTAGTAATCTATTAGTTTCTTCCCATGAAATATATAACTTACTAGCATTTCGATAACATTCATATACCTAGAGTTTACAAGAGGATGAAAATTGCCGTTCATAAGTTATATATCGTGGTTTTATTCATTGAAAGCTATTTATTCACGATTTATTATGTGATCTTTCAGTTTTTATACTGAATAATGATACTATCCTTATTCAATACTTTATTTCTGACTACAATAATAAATTGTTGTGATAAGTTCATTTTTCCTCACACATGTTGATTTTATTTGCACTATGTCTATACTGGATTTCCTATTGTAGACCGATGATATCATAATTTACCTAAATCCCAATGTAACCATATCGTATTCCATTGGAAGATAAACAAAGAAAAGTAACACATTTGTAACTTTGGTTAAATTTTGAAATACTGAGCATCGAGATGGGTTTTATAGTTTTCTTAAAATGTCAGTTAACTATGCGATTAATATACAAAGAAAAATTGTAAAAAAATTATTATGATACTTATACAGTTGGAAAATATGTGCCATATTGGATTAAATAAGCCATCAGGAAAATAATACTACGAATTTAGTAGAAAATCTTAAAGCTGAGTACTGTAAATACTGTAAGCCTCCAAATGCCCTGGTACGGCCGAGAGTGCGAGGGTCCTCTCACCCTCTCGAAATGCTCTCACATGGCCACGCGTATATAGCCTCTGTCAGGGAAGTCCTACTCACTGCCTTTTCTTGGCGGGGGTGTTGTTTACGAAATTGAGAGGACGAAAAGGGAATGTCCAGCGCTTTAACCAAGTTGGTGGACATGGAGAGTTCACCTAAGGGAGTTGGAAAACCCTGATTCTAAACCAATGGTCCACATGAGCTTCAGTATCCTGAAGGAAAAAATGGCGTATGAATCAATCGTTGGTCACCGGCTACCGTGGGAATGCATCTCCTTACGTTGCTCCACTGCCTTATGGATCAGACCTTCAGGTCGAATGCTCCGGGTGCGGTTTCCTACGAAAACCATCTGTTTCGATTTGGGCATCTCAAATGAGGTCTGTGTGGCGCATATGTATTTGGTGCATCCTTGTACCAATATCTGTGTGTTAAAATAAAATAACTGTAAATATTATTGACATAAAAATCTGCATATACAAACCAATTGTATCATACGCCTTTGTGGCGCAAATAATAAAGTGAGCGATTATCAGTCCTAGTGGGTAAAGTTTAATTCTATTGACTGTTAAATGATGTATGATGTACACACATATGAGTAACTGAGTTATATGTCAAGGATAACAAACTTTAGTGATCTATGACAGTGTATTGTTATCATTCATTATATTATATCTGTTAACTGGGTTTATTCGTTCATTTTCTGATCAGAGCTTTTTCAATAGATATAACTATTATCATCTTGTTTTAACATAGAGGAAAGTTTGCTATTACCACAACATTATCAAGTAATTTTGATTTTATACGTTATGCGTTAAAATATGTATAAATATGTAGTAGCCTTGAGTATCTGACTTTAATTTGATCGTAAGAGTATCGTTATCGATTTATATACATGCCACCAATCCTCACATGTAATTATCGACTTAGCTTGCGTTCGTGTATAACGGAATTGAGTCGAATACGAGACTGAAGTATTTAATACGTATATTTTGTTCATTCAGCATTGATGATTAGAGACGGAGCGAATCGAAGTAAATTGAAGAAGGTTTGTTAACCGGCTTAATTTAAATAAGCACTACTACAAAAAAGGCGATGTTAAGCGAAGGTAATTAATAAGATTCAAGCATATAGACATGATAGTGGTCATAATAATACAAAGAAATAGACAAATTGTTACCGTTCGAATAACACTGTCTGTAAAATAAGTTAATAGAAAGGCTTAACATAACAATCAACACTACAAATACATATTTTAAAACCAAAAAAACATTCTTTTTCATAACTTATCATGAGAGTTTAAATTTACAGGTTTAAACCTCTTTTTAAAATCTGAGAAACACACCAAAAACTTCATTTGCAAAATGTCCATCAATCGTCTCAGACTTCATTGTTTCTTTGCTTCCGCAGCAATCACTCGCTGTTCTCGTTCTCTTTTCTTTGATCTTTTTAACCTTCTGCCTTCAGACATTTTACTTTCGACTGATGATACATACTGCTTATGTTTGTCGACATCAATATCGCACACCATGTTGTCAACTGTATGTTTCAACACCCCAATATGTTAATTTTCACAATTTAACTAAAACCCAGTGTTATTTGTTTTGAATACCGATGGGTTATCCACTGAAGTAGTGAATTCATTTAGCCATTGCTTTGTTGTTTAAATAGTTATTAGTAAAGTGTTGAATTATTTTATAATTAATACTTACGACTGACGAAAAAACAATCGTAATCCGGTCAAGAACACCAGCAACTTATACTTGATAATTCTGAGTACCGGTTTTTACTTACAATCGTAAATGTATCACCTGTATTCTAAGTGATCAGTTGGTTTCGGACGTGGCTATTTTAATTTGGACTGTGAAATGTTGCATCAAAATAGGGATTAATTTGATTAAAAATAGTTTTACAGTTAAATATGTGTATTTGTATCTATGTTTTTATATAGTGGAAATTTCCAAAACAATTACACAATTAATTATTCAGAGCAACGTAAGATAAATTTCCCGAAATATACAATACTTTAATTCATTTTTGTATTGGTTGCTTAAATGTTTCCATTGATATCTAGGACTGCAATTGATGGCTCGACATTGACTTCAGTCATAAGCATTATAAGGTAAGATGATAGCGGCTAGAAGTGTAATCCAGAACTTGCGTTTCGTTCTATTTTAGACTCATCAAATAGATGTATCTGCATCCCAGAGTTGATGTCCACTCCAGAACTAGAACGCACGTCCTAGATTCCACTGTTAGCCACTATCATCCCAGCTTATATACAAAACTTTGTCTAAACCAAATATACGAAAGAGGTAAAAAAAAGATTCGACTAATAAGAAATTTTTTTAAATACTTTTAAATTAAATATTTCAATTTATCCAAATGAATGCTGCCTAAGACATTGAAAGTGGAAGAACACAGATAGAGTAAAAGAAACAATGTTCTTTCTTTTTTTGGGGGGGGGGTAATTTCACTTATTTAAAGGAAACAATACAAGTCATCATTATATGTAAAACTACTTTCTTATATGTCACTTTTTGGTTGAAATCTATTCAAACAAAAGATTTTCTCCTGTAAATATTTATGTAGATATTTCTCTAAATCACGAAAGAAACTAAACTTTCAGCAATAAAAAAAAAACACAACACGCCTGTGTTTTAAATGTAATTGAAGAGGAAGTAATGCCCAACTACTATTATTTTATTATTACATGATTGAATGGTAATCATATAGAGATTTTTAAAAAGGAAAAAAAAATAGTTTTTTATTTCATTGATGAAATTGCTCATTTAAAACAGGAGAAGAGACATTCAATATCTTCTGAATAAAAAAACAATAACACCAATAACATCAGCAACAACAACAGCAACTACTACTACTACTACTACTACAAATGTTGCCAATTCTATATTCGAATAATTACGTTATCCAATATATTAAAAATAGAAAAGAAACAAACAAAATATAACTGGAAAATATATATTGATGCGAACAATAACAATAGTAAACAAGTCTCATTATCACTGTAAACGTTGTTATAGATACAAGGCGTGGTGAATTATTCCAATAGAATGTATATAGTATCTGCCTATGCTAAATTGTTTGCATAAATGTATATTATTATCGAATATTATATATATAATTCGCGTGTTTATCAAACTGAATAAACAATTAGTTGTAACCTTAACTGTAAAGTTCAGCATTTCAAATTTTTTTTTAAAAAAAGAAGAAAGAATACAGTTTCAGGTGTGTTTCTGTCTTTTGAAATATTCTTTATTGCATGTATAAAACAAAAAAAGGTCTTGAGACAAATTCAAAGGGTATGACATATAGTGATAGATAACTTCATAGAAATATGACTGAATATTGATAGAATATTTAGGTAAGAGACAAATATTTCATTATCCCTTATTTTTGTTGTTGTTTGTTTCTAAATTGTAATTTATTTATTCTAGGATGAATTTACTTCATTTACTTAAATTGTTTCACCTTAAATGGTATAGTAAAGATTAAAGACAATTCAGCAAAGAAAATTCTCTTTATCACGATAACATTTATTTAAATTGTACAGTCGTAATATAGTTTACTATCATAGGGGTTGTGAAGATTATTAAATTTTTGATTGAGATCATAAACCGATTGTTGTGAGAAAATTCTCAGAGTTCTGGTGAGAAGCCGTGATCAGTGAAGCTAATCCTTGTCAGGTAGAAACAAGTGTCTACCTCAGTGCAATGGAAGATGGTCACGCAACTTCGTGGATTGGTTGAAGTTAGCCATTCACACCATTGGATGCCGGCTCAGTGGTCCAGTAGGTTAAGCGTTCGTGCGCGAGACTGAAGGCCATGGGTTCAAATCCCGCGAGCGGGATCGTGGATGCGTACTGCTGAGGAGTCCCACAATGGGACAAAACGGCCATCCAATGCTTCCAGGTTTCCAAAGGTGGTCTAACATCAATCGGTTCATGATCTCAATCAAAAACGTAATATACTTTATTAACAAACAAAGTAGTTTATTGAAAAGAAAATAAGAGAGTTACATGATTTCAGGTATCAAGATTGGGTTGTATAATGATCGAGAACATAATCAAAGAGAATAAGATAAGACTAAATGTATAAAAAAACAATTAATCACTTGACTAGTATGAAAGAGTTGCAAAATAAACTGAATACATGAATGTAATTATAACGAATAATTAAAAATTAAAAGATTAAAACAACATAAAGTTAGGTATTAACATCTTTGGATCCCGGATCAGTGGTCTAGAAGTTAATCGTTCGCATGAGAGATAGAAGGTACTGGCTTCGATCGTCGATGCGCACTGCTGAGGAGTCTCATACTACGACGAAACGGCCGTCTAGTGGTTCCAAGTTTTCAGTGGTGTTCTAACGTTTATCGATTCATGATCTCAAACAAAACTCAATGATCTTCACAACCCTAAGCCGGTAATCAAAATGATATGTTAACTACCAAATTATTGTCTATAAAAATTAAGTATCAGGGTTATGGAAGAATGATGAATTACTACTACGAACATGTTTTAACATTGTTGAAAAAGAATATTATTTTTAATTGTTTGTTTGAAAGGTTTGTGAATTCGATGTAGTATTATCTTGTCTTCTCTCTTCATAGTAATGTATTCAACAATTCGTACTCTGTTGTCTGAAAATAAGATCGTTTCCAGACGGTTTGTTGTGTGATGATGAAACTTTTAATAACGTTTGCTAACATCAAGTTCTTGCATTTTGTTATTATCTCCATCATTATGAATTATTAAGAATGAAATATATATATACTACATATTATATGATTTCAAAGGGAGTTTTCCTGCAAACGGACAAATACTGAAGAGGTTATAAATGCTGTTTCATCTTGGTTTGTACATGTGTATTATGTTAAACAAAGCAGTCAGACCCATTATCTTTAAAAAATATCACTGATATCTTGAGTCGCAATCTCACAACTCTTATTTTAATTTCATACAGTTTACTACGCAAAGTTAATTAAATGATAGAAATCTTTTACAAGGGATGGATTATTTATGATCGCATAAGTAATCGAATATATTTGCTGTAAAACTGATTTAAATCAAATGAATAACGTGTCTTACAAGGATATTCGATTATTTTTGAAAAAGCATTTACTTCATAGTCCTTTTTTTATTTGATTTTAACTAAGCTGACTTTCGATAGCTTGAATTTGCATCTCCCATAGTTGTCACCAAACACATTATCAGTAAATGATGTGTAATGGATCTGTAGAAAGTGTCTTCTTGATAGGATTATTTTATTTAACACCTATTAATGGGAATGATGATATCGGTCACCTGAGTATTTAGATTACTTACATGGCTAGTCAACTGATATCCAAGCCTGGCAGGCTGATACTTAAGGTTGAATTGGTGACATTAGTTTTGTTTTACGTTGAGTTTACTGAAAAATGCTACCATTTTAGTTTTAAGCCAAGGATTAAATCATGAAGACATTGAGAATTTTTGTATTTCACTACCTTAAACTGTAGCGTTAATCTAAAGATCAAATATAACATCCTTTAAATTTTGAAAAAATTGTTTATAAGTTTCAGTATAAAATGTACATTGAGTTGTATGAATAAAATATGAGAATGGAAATTATCGTAGTCCTGTTACCCAGGCAACATGAAACTGAATATTTATCCATAGCGAACCGATTACGATAGATAAAAAAGGGATAGTTTACATGTACCAACATTTCATCATGTATCACATCATGAAAAACTACATTGAATGAAGCAGATATTGAAAATCTTTTATATAAAAAATCTTGAAAAGCAATTAGGCCCATAAAACTATCTCGTCCATATACTGATGTAGTTTAAAATTGAACACCATTTCAGTACACTGTAAAATCATCTGATAAGATGGTGGTTGGAGGTAGTCAACAGGAAACCCTGGACCGAGGTTTCGTGCTACTTGGCACTCGTCAGCAAGGAGTACCTGTAATCCTAAGGAAACTGATTACCGGTAATCTGATAATAGTCCAAGCAATGTCGAGTCACCTAGACTGTTGGCTACATTGTAACTTGATCGATAGGATTCGGTCTGCACTAAGAAGGACCTTACATACATGGCATTGATCACCACCCAGTGATCAATCATCTGAAAAGACACTTAAATGATTTTAATGTAGTAATTTAGTCATTTTCAATGACTTCAAGTCCTTTTTTCTTTTCTTTCTAAATAAATGTGACAATCAAAACAATATCATTTCGGAGAAGAAGCAAATCAAACTAGTCAAAAAAAAATAATTCACTCACTTTTAAACTTCCTCTTGTACAATGATCAAATACCAGGCATAATGCACTAATATCAACATAACAACCAATCAATGGATTGACATTTTCATTACGTATCTCTCTTAACAAACGTACATGATCTAAAAATTTACTCTTTAATGCAGCATTATTCAATTCTAAACGTTTTATATAAATTAAACTATTCTGTAATATAGTTGATAGGAAAAGAAAAAAAAAGGGAGGAAAACAAAGAAGAACAATCACGATAATGATTGAGAAGTTGATTAGTGTAGCATATTACACAACAAGTTTCAGTTTTGTACAACGAAAACTATTTTTGTATATTAAAGTTTGGTTTATTATTGATCTTATTTGGATTGTCGAGTTAATTGATGAAACACTGTGGTGACTTCAGTGGTAAAACCATATAGGTGCGGTCATGAAACCTCAATTGTATTGAATTAAAAAGAAAGAAAGAATCAGTGGCTAACTTATTAATTTTTAGTAGCTCGTGATCTGACTCCGAGTTGATCATTTCTCATTGTTATCAAGATATATATCTGTCGCTTTAATGAATAACGGAATTAAAAAGTCAAATAGGAGAATGAATTTCGAATACGTGTATTTCATACAATCGTTGATCAGAAGGAGAAGCAAAGCAAAATGATGCTCATCGAAGATGGCCTGTAAGCCAATTCAATTTAGGCGACCGTGAATCGATATTTACAGTCGAACAAAAGTAAAGAAGTGCACAGAAATACGCTCATATAAAAACAGTCAAACTTCATAAGCGAATAATTGACAAGGTTAAAATGTGACTCAAGAAGAATGAATAAACTGGCCTATCCAGAAGCTAGAATAAGCTATGTGGGCTTAACACGGCTGCCGACACTACTAATTCTCATTGTTGTATAAATATGAGGAAAATGCAACTTTTTGTATGTATAAAATGTTTAATCAGGCTGTTACGGTTATGAGTTATCTAACAGTTATGTTTCTAGTTGTACAATTGATTTCTAAAGCTTAGCAGGGAGAGCTAAAAGTCATTGACATATATCTTATTGCTCCAGCTTTCTATATTATACAGATGTTGTTGAAACATTGATAGATCAAGTTTATTCAATAGACGCAAACATAGAAAGACTTGTATTTTTCGTAGTTGAACTCACGAACTGTTCTTAGGTAGACAAACATCGAGAGCCTTAAAGCTCTACATTGTCGATTCGTTTTAGTTTGTGACTCCCTAATAATGACTACTCACTACCTCGCACCCGAGAATTGAACCTAGGACCTTCAGTCTAGAGTGCGAACTCTGAACCTCTTGACCACGGAGCCGACGTACGACGGTGTTAATGCCTAATTTTAATTAATCCCTGATATTCCACAACATCCATCCATTGCCTGCGATGGATAACTCACTAGAACTACAAGAGTTGCACCTCAAATCTAGTCACCAGTGTGTAGATGATTATTGTAAATATGTGTGATTTGTAGAGATTGTAGAGGAGTTCCATTCCTTGATGAAACCGTCATCCATTGCCCCTAAGTTTTCGCTTGTGGTATAGCTAAGGTAAGTTCGTGATTTCAACTAAGAAAATCCTAAAGTGTTCATAAATCCTGTATATTGATAGATCTGTATCTGTTTATTATACTACTAGGATTAAAAGTTAATTATTTTGAAGGAATCTAATATTAATTTGTCAAAGTTGACTAACTGAAATGAACGTAATCACTATCTTGTTCAATTTAGTAAGTATGTTCAAAATTATTTGATGATGGGATTGTTAGTAGCCATTTTTACTCATCATTTGACTTCAGTTGGGGTTTGGCTGGAAACTAGGAAGCCATGGATAGGTGTGTCTTCTTGGCAAAACATCACTAATAGTATGTGCCCACGACTCAGTGACCTTAACATTTTAAGTTAAGTAATTTACGGTTAGTCCACTGTGTCAGAATCCGATATTTTTTAACATCTATAAATAGAATCAATTAAAGTTATGGCTGAACGAGCATCGAATCCCATTAGGATTATGATTGTAATAAAAGATTCATAGTAATCTATCAGATTTCAAATTATATAAAAACATTTGAATATTTAAGTACTTACACTATAACGTGCAACATTTGTATCTTCGATTCCATCACCACTCATAACTGACACCAATGATCTTGCTTGATTGTCTATTTTACCTTGATTTATATGACTGGTTGTTGATCCATTAAGTTTTGTTTCACTAGTCATTGTTGGAAAACGTAGATCAACATTACTCTGTGGTTGTTTTTTTTTTTCATTACAAAAAATGAGATAATCAGTAGAGTACAAACAATTAATTACAATCAATACACATGTAAACGAGTTAGAATCATGTACATTTCGATAGTTTACATGTACGATGCAACTTGATTTACAGATTGTATGATAGTTATCATGAAGTAAACAGTAGATGTAATAACAAATAACTAATCATACAATAATTGCTATGTTATACTTTGCTACCTTGTATATATTTTACATAATACAATCATTAGTCAATCAAGAAATCTCTCTTTTGACTGGAAGCATGACTAGTTTTTCGACCGCTAACTCCATATGTAAATGTAAACTAATTCAAATTAACATTATTCATATTATCAGTATAGAGGTTGTGGAGATTGTTAGGTTTTGATTGAGATCATGAACCGATTGATGTCAGACCACCATTGAAAATCTGGAAGCACTGGACGGCCGTTTCGTCCTATTGTGGGACTCCTCAGCAGTGCGCGTCCACGATCCCGCTCACGGGATTCGAACCCAGGGCCTTCGGTCTCGCGCGCGAACGCTTAAACTACTGGGTCATATTGTTTATTTTCGTATTGTTTATATTCAACAAAATATTCTGACAGCGTATTGTTACCATATATTAGATAAATGAGTTATATAAACTTATATCCGTTTGTTTGTATGTCTGAAAACTTGATTGCTTACTTTAAAACAATTAGTTCCTTTGATAAATTTTGATAATGCAATGAGAAGATGAAGATTATCAGAATTATGTGATATATTTGCGTAATACATTTTGAACAATCTGATCACACATATACTTGTTAAGACATTTTTATATGAAAATTAAAAAGTCAAGTAGACAGGTTAAAGGTAAGCCGTGACAAAGAAAAAAGTACAAAAAACAGTGTGATAACTACCCTGGATAATAAATCCGTGTTACCAGGGTAGGTTGAGTGTAAGGACATATTGCTTTTGAACGCATAAAGGGGGTTTCAGTTTCCGTATAACCAGGGCTTTAATAAACCAGTCTCAATCAAATGTTTCGCAATGGAGGATGATGTCTATCCTATGATCTTATCTGACCATTGGAATCCATTTGTTTCTGCATCCATTTTGGTGTGCGTTCACCCACCCTTAATTGCAAATCACGATTGCCCCTCATTATGTACGTGTTCCCGCACATACATGTAAGTTGATAGACACAACGGAATGTGACACAATCGCTTTTGTGTTGTTTAGGCTTTTGGTGAAGGCAACATTACTGACTATCATGATAGGATGATTCATTATAGACAATGACATGACTTCAATATAGTTATGGTTTACTGCAAGGTTACTGAGATATAAGTGTGTATCCAGTGTTTTGCCAGAGAAAATACGTAAATATTTCAAAATAAAATGGATTTTATCATCAACTATCATTTTATTATTGACAACTCAATCAGTACTTCAGTAAATATACATTGGCAAACTAAAGTACCAAACGTTCCAGATAGGAGAAAGTCAACTGATTGTTATATTACCTAACGCATGAAGTTCATCATGAAGTGACAATTATTACATTGAAAAATTTTCACGAACTACTTACACGAATATTCGATCGATCGTAAAGAGATTGAAATTGAGTCTATCATCAATATAAAGCTAGTAAATAACAATAACAATATGTTGAATCATTCAAGAATATGCATTTATGCTTGACATATGACCGATACTTTAGATAATCACAGTTAAGTGTAAAACATTGAAGACTAATGCATCTCACATAAAAATATATTCATGCAATGATATTTTAAAATATCAATCATATGACTTACTGGTGTAGTATGCTTAACTGTTTTTTGAGTTTTCATGAATACAACATCATCTGGATAAAGAATTAGTTTATTAGGTCCTTCACGATACATTTTCCGTCGTCGATAACATCTGGAAATTATGAGGTACAATTAGTAGAGGGTTTCTTTTAATTGAAATATCCATGTATTAATTAGTATCATTTACTTATAGTTTAGATTTATTCTAATGCAGATAAATATAAATTTATAGTTGAAATGATTATTTACTCAAAATGGTAACTTAAATTTATGACTTCTAGTTAATGAATAAAGAAAACAATAAACCTCCCTTTTCATGATAGTTAGATAATGGAACCCTGAAAATGACCACAATTGATGCTAATATCTTTATAGATATCTCTGATCCATGGTATTTTGAAGAATGTGTGAAAATAAAATAAGAATTACTGAATGAAATACAGCACATAATCTTAGGCTAAATAAAGTATGTAAAGTATTCTTTTCGAGTGGGAAAGTAACATTTGTAGACTGATGAATTCAATTTCATTTCTGAGTCAAATCATTCTCAGCCAAGTATAGTGAGAAACAAATTTGTTGGTTGTTATAATTGTTATAATTGTGTATTTATTGAAGACGAAAGTCAAGACATCCGAAACCTTGATTTTTTACTAACTTGATGCCGATAGAAACACGTGTCAGAAATATGGATTGAACTTATTGCTTCAGTAAGACCTAAGCCCATTTCATTCAGTGTTACAGTCATAGTTCCTGCTACTAAACCACTCAGACACCGATTGACCTAGGATATTTAGTTATTTAGTCTTAAGTACGTACCGAATTCAATAGATCAACACTAAGTACAAGAAAGCATTGTACTGACTACTACTTAGTAATCAGTTGGTATCTCATCGATATGGAGTTATGGAGATTGTTGAGTCTAAACTGAGATCATGAACCGATCAACATTTGACTGCCATTGAGAACCTGGAAGCGCTGGACGGACGTTCCGTCCCAATATGGTATTATTTAGCAGTACGCATCCATGTTCCCGCACATGACATTCGAACTCATGAACTTCGGTCTCGCGCGCGAATGCTTAACCTCTAGACTATTAATCTGGAATCCAACGGTGTTAATGTCTAAATTTAATCAATCAACGCTATTGTGTGACTATCTTCGATTGTTTTCCGTGGGTAACTGTCTCACACCCTACACAGTTGAACTTCAATGGTCAAGGCTTCTCACTAGAACTAGTAACTCCATTTGCTGGTAAATTATTCTGTAACACAATATTTTGCTTAGTTGGGCCTTCCTTTTCACATTTGGTCATCGATGACCTTTACATCTGTAAATTCTCTCAGTCTATCACAATTGATCCGTATTATAAAAATAATATAATAAAATGTATCTAATGAATGGAAATTTGAAACCAACAAGTGTGTATTAGAATGAACGGGTAAAAGAGAGAGATATATATAAAGAGAGAAAGATAGGTAAACTACTGATAAACTTGAAAACAAAAGCATGCACTTTGTCGAAATAAAGGTTTTTTGTTGTTGAAAGAATCAATTCTTATATAGAATAAAAGATCATGGGCACTTTTGAATTTATTTAATGTGCAGCCATAGTAGTAGTTGTTGTTGTTTGGGATGATAAAAATAAAACTCAATTATCAAATAGAACAATAAGTGAAGAGCAGAAATTGGGACTAAACATAATTAAATATTAAATTTTTTTAAAAAAAAAACGTGGGTGGGGGTGAATGAAAAGGGAATTCTATTTCCAATGATCATATGAATTTCTGGCCTATTTCTTTGTTTGTTTGCCTGTCTGTCTGTCTGTTTGTTTGTAATTGTGCATGTTTTGAATCACCTTGGGAAACAATAAATGCTTCTAGGGTGTAACTATGCAAAAAAAGTAAATCAGTTAGGATAATAAATAAATAAATAAAACTATTCGATCTGATTGTAGATTTTAAATGATTGTTGTATTTTTGAAATTTATTTGTTAAATATATATCTTTTGTGCTTTATGAGAAAAGAACTAAAGTTTTCCGTTAATGATCATGATAAAATTATTAATCCATATTATTAATGATACGATTAATAGTACTTTTAATGAATACTATAGTCTGAAAATTTATTACTCACATCTTACCAACAAGGTATTGAAAAGTGATAACACAACTTTTCGATTGAGATCATGATAGATTGATGTTAGACCAATATTGAAAACCTGGAAGTAGTGAGCGGTCGTTTCATACTATTGTGGGACTCCTCAGCAATGCGCATCCATGATCCCGCTCACGGGATTCGAACATAGGGCCTTCAGTTTAGAGTGCAAATGTTTAACCTATAAAGCACTTAATCGACATGAGACGGTGTTATTGTCTAACCTCAAAGATACCTGACTCTACCCAACACGGATTAGCTTCACTGGTCACGGCTTCTCGCTAGAACCCCGAGAATTCCCTCGCGAGTGGAATCATGGGTGAGCAGTGGTCAGGAGTCCCGCAATAGGACAAAACGGCCATCCAGTGCTTCCAGGTTTTCAATATTGGTCTAACATCAGTATGTTCATGATCTCAACCGAAAACTTAAAAATCTCCACAACCCTATACTGATAATACAATTGTTAATAATCTGTTATGCATTTAAGATCAAGATATACGACTATAATTATCATTGGTAGTCACTTTTTCACAAAGTTTAATAACTGATAAAGTTCTTCTCTGTACAGCTTGTTTTAGTTTAAGTCAGGGTAATAAGAGGAAATTATCAATTTAAAAATGAAGGATACTTAAGTAATAATATCGATTATTACAAAAATTTGAATGTGAAGTATAGCGGTATTATTGATAATAAAAATAGTAGTAGCTGTCAAAACACGATTTCAGAAAGAACAAATGCAATTGACGATAAAGAATCATAAGACAATTTTCAGAGCTAGAGATGTAAATACTGCGTCAGTCTGAATTACGAAGCTCTCCGTTCCTTCAGTGACCAACTGAATTTCTTGGTCCGAACAATCTTGGAATTATTCCATCCAGAATTGTAAGTCGGAACATGCAGTGTCTAGACATCTGTAACAGTTGTTCTGACCACTTCCTTTGATTCATAAGACTAATGGTCAACTAACTACAATTTTGGCCTAGTAATTTGCAACTAATTCTGAGATGGTGGAGAAGATTTGTAGCTCAGGTGTATGATTTTGGTGGAGTTTTGTTCTCTGAGCTGGATGGTTTGATCATGAAGCTTTCATCGTTCTTCTGAAAGACATCATCAGCACAAACTTCAGATAGAAGTGAAGCGTTCGAATTTCCCCATATGTATTTCACGGCATGTTCTGTGCACCTCGCTGTTGATTGGTTCTTATTGACCTTAAGTTTGTCACTGTTCACTTCTTTGTTTTGGTTGTGTCTCCCATTGTTTTGATTTTTGTTCTTATATTTATGCATGATTTTCCTGATTGGTTGATAAATTGGATTGATTTCAATATGCTTGTTGATTGCTGATTGACCTGAGTGCCAGGCTTCTAAAAATTCTCTGGTGTTTTTTCCTCTATCTAAGATTTCCACATTTTTCCAATCGAATGAGTGTCCGCAGTTGTCCACGTGTATTGATATAAGTGAGGAGATATCATGTCGTTTGACTGCTAATTGATGTTCATGTAGGCGAAGGTGAAGGGGGCGTCCGCTTTGTCCGATGTAGTGTTTTTCGCAGTTGGCACAATTTATTTTGTAGATGATGTTTGATTTGTTTTCACTTGTTATTTCATCTTTCGGTTTGCATAAGATTGATTGTAGTGATTTTGTTGGTTTGTGTGCCACACCTATCCCGAAGGTTTTCAGCAGTCTCGTTGCAGTTTCTGATATTCCTTGTATGTACGGTAGGGTGATCCTTTTACTGATTTTTGTGCTTGACTTGGGTTGTGATGCTGTGTGCCGTTGGTGCTTTTTGATGAAATTGATTGGGTAGCCGTTCTTTTGGAATATGTCCTTCAGGTATTTCTCTTCATTTCTTCGTGCTGCCAGTGTGCTACAGTGTGTCCTCGCCCTCTTGAACAATGTGTTTACGCAGTTGATTTTGTGAGCCCTTGGGTTGTTGCTGTTGTAGTTGAGAATTTGATCTGTATGGGTTGGTTTTCTATATACTTGAGTTTCCAGTTTTCCTGTATCAGTTCTAGTGATCAATATATCCAAAAATGCTAGTTGGTTGTTTGACTCCTGTTCCATTGTGAACTTGATGTCATTGAAGACGTTGTTGATCAATTTGTATGTGTTTTTCAGTTCATCCTTTTTGACGATGACGAAGGTGTCGTCTACGTAGCGAATCCAAATTTTTGGCTTGATCACTGGTAAAATAGCAGCTTCTAGTCTTTGCATCACTGCCTCTGCGATCAATCCTGATATTGGTGATCCCAATAGTGCTCCATTCGTTTGTTCGTAGATTTTGTTGTTGAATTCAAAATATGTTGTTACGCATAAATTGATGAGTTCCAGTAGACTTTGAATTTGAAGCTTCGTGTATTTAGTGAGGCTTGTGTCGTTGTTGAGCAGCAGGGATATAGTTGCTTTTGCTAATTTTGGTTCAGTTGAGGTGAATAGTGCCGTTACGTCGAAGGATATCATCAGTTCGTCGTTGTTGATTTGGATGTCCTTAATTTGGTCCAGGAATTGTGTAGGGGATTTGATGGAGTGGTTGGCTGAATCTACTAAATGTCTCAGTATTCTTGAAATTTCTTTTGACAAATTGTACGTTGGCGTTCCGGGGAGTGCTACAATTGGACGTAGTGGGATGTTTGGTTTGTGTATTTTGGGTCTGCCGTAGAATCGAGGGAGTACTAGTTCATTGGATTTCATTCTCCAACTTCAACTAATTATCCTTGTACTCCCTTGACGATTCGCTACGTGGCCAGTGTCTAAAAGCATCAGTACAATCTGCATATTAGAAAATCTTAAAGTTATGTAGAACACAAAGTGACATTTTATATTCTCTGTTCTATAACCAGAAGGACTAGTCAACTATACCACGTAAACGTGGTTTAGGAAAATGGCTAATAAGCAGGTTTAATCATTATTTATATCTGTTCAAATACTAACCGAACGGGTTTAAGGTGACTTTTCGGAAAAATAAATCAGTTTACATACTCATCTATTTCATTTCGTTTGGTCGAATCAGACAGCTCTAAAATTAAGCGTTTTAATTAGATGAGGATAAATGAATTCTAAGCATTCTTGCACCTGCGTTGAAGCCATGTTAGTATTGTAATCAAAGAGAGTCATTCTATTTCCGTACTGTAAGTCAGTTAAGGTGTTTTAGTTGACAAGCCAGGCCCAGAAGAATCAAATAAGGACGAATTTATTTATGGAAGCAATAAAAATAGGCAAGGTGACACTACTTGCAGCAAGATGTCCAAACGTCAGTTATTTATCCATTTACACATTACCAGTAGTACTGGAGTAAAGACAGTCAGTGGCCTTTCAACATATTTGATATGCTTTTCTATGATAAATCTTCCTATTGAAGAATTCAATTATCATTTCCAAGTGAAAGAACATGGCTACAGTCGGACATTTACTTTGAATTTACTCACTTATTATCATTATTTTATTATGAAAATAAATAATGTAGTCAACTATGAAAGATGAGCTATCATTGAGCGCTAATTTGGTTCAGTTGTTAAGTTTTCTACAACCAATATACATTACCATGACGTAATTCGAACTCTGAACCATTGACATTTTCAGAGGGCATGACTTCTTTCAACCACTGGATTAACTGACTTGAGATATAACTCATGCAGTTTACAGTGAAACGTTTTGGGTTTATAGGCATAAATCCCTTTTCAAGTTTTAAAAATCAAGAGAATGAATATCTTGTATTATTTCCAAAATATTTTGAAACTTTCTTAATTATTCTGAAGTACTGTATATATGTGCTAATGAGGTGTGGCAACTTGAACCGATGCATATAGATGTCTGGTCTTACATCGTAGCTGACTGACTGACTGACTGATCTGTTGTATATTAAATTTATTCAATAACGGTTTTGTATAATGTCTGGTTATTTGTATCATCATCAACTGATCACTTGCCTAACCATTAAAAAAATGTTTCAGCGCTTAAATAGGATTACTTGATTTTCATATTGATCTTTCTATTTAACACTGAACAGTTTCGAACAATCAGTCTATAGATGTTTAATTATAAGATTTCGTTATTGTAGAACACTATTTAACAGTAGAATCCAAGATGAGAGTATTTTAATAGTCAAGACATGTTAAATAGATAAAATCATTTCAAATTATTACATTCATGAACTTGATTGTAGTGTTTAGAGTAGAAACATGGCCAATGTTTATCTAAGTTCAATTTGCACACTGTGAATTATATCATTATATATGAATAATGAAACAAACTAAATATTGAAAATATAATCCAAATTAGTCTTCTTATGACAGGATTAAGTGATTTTCAAACTAACCTTGCTAACAAGAAAGCAACTAATGAAAATGCTATCGTAGCTGTTAATACAGACATGAATATAAGAGCCATAACTATTCCATTATCTAAATAAATAAATAATTGAAAAAAAAGTAATGAAGAAAATATATTAAATGAACTAGATTATTCTTATTTGAAATTGAATATTTTTAAAATATAACTGCTGATACCTTAGTATGGTGTGTGCTACTTATATTGACATAAGTGGTATATGATGTTAGTCGTAAACAGCAGAGAGACAAGACGGGCCTGAAGCTGAGGTGCCAGTTGGGGCAGTCTGGTGTGGAGAGGTGGCGTCGAGTGGATTGTTCTGGTGGGGCGGCGTTGGCTGTAGCGGGTGCTGTCGACGGATATCGGATGTAGATGGCTCAGCAGGCCGATGGAGCACGGGTGTTAAGCTTCCCAGATGCCAGTTGGATGTCAGATGTTGTTGCCTCGGCAGGTTGACGGAGCTACGGAGGTCAGCGCGCCGCATACTCGGAGGGCGTAGCACAGACTGCAGAGATGAAGGATTTGGCACGGCGAGCATGAACCGCCGCAAGAACGACTGCTTTAAAGGAGGGACGAGTGTGGTGTGTGATACTTATATTGACATAAGTAGTATATGATGTTAGTCGTGAACAGAAGGTCTGGCAGAAGAGAGACAAGAGGATCGAACAGTAAAGAATGGAAACAGGATGCAATTTGCATGAAAATGCAAGAACAATGAAGTCTGAGTCATTTTAAAACAATCGATGGACATTTTACAAATTAAGCATTGACTTTATGATTGTTAGATTTTATTGACAAGTCCTGTAATTTTGTGTTAAATTTATCCGATTGTCCCTACCCGTGTTCTGTTCACTACATTAGAACGAAAAGCGAATGTCCGGCACTTTAACTGGGTTAGTGGATGTGGAGGATCCACCTAGAAGCGTTGGAAAACCCTGATTCCAAACTATGAAAAAAAATGCGGAAATGTGCTAGAGTCGTACTTAGTATGTGCTATTGATGTCAAGAGTTATTAGTAGTATGTAACATCAATCGAAAGTGAAATGTCTCGAGGTAGAAGGTTAAAAAGATCGAAGAAAAGTGAACGAGGAAAGAAAATGATTGGTATGGACACGAAAGAACATTCAAGTCTGAGACATTTGATGAATATTTTTCAAATGATGTATTTACTGCGTGGTTCTCAGATTTTACCAAGTGATTCTGTAATTTTATGTTCAAATGCATTTGGTTATCTTCACTTGTGTTTTCGTTCACTACAGTACTACAAATTGAACTTTACTGTTAGTACTACAAAGCGAGTTTTCCATTAACTTAATCATTATGAATGAAATTGTAGAAAATTACATGTTTTTGTATCTGTGTCGAGTAGAAAACATGGTCTAATGTCCCATTATTTTATAGTTTACATCAAGAAATGAACCATGTTAGATGACTTTTAATAACCGGGTATTAATAGACAGATGTTTTGAACTAATAATGAACGCGTCAGTAATGTGAATTGACGAATCCATCTAGGATTGGACCTAGAAACTTCAGGTCTTTTTGCAAGTGCCTAACCTTTAAACAAATGACATAACAACCATTAATTTATATGTCTGATTTCATTCAATATACATGGAAACGGTCATTTCGTGTATCAAATATCTTTAGTACGGTTTCGATGTTAGTAACTTCTACAAATTAAAAAAAACTAGAATTTTATCTTTTTCTAAAGAAACGAACAAATTCAAACTTCATATACCAGCTACTTATTAGTTTTCAATAAATACATAATCGAAAGTAATTGATCATTCTAAATATTAGATTAGATAATTAGGAAAACTAGTGAATTCTCAAGCAAAGTACAAGTCAAACTGACCAAAGTCTTAAACACTATTCAAATAGAACTAATTGGCTTGAATGCAGATTGAGAAATGTTACATTTCAACATCTAAACTTACTTGGAATACATTCTGTAATAGTTGTAGTTTGTTGTAATGTAGCATTTAATTGCCAATCACTTCCTAATACCATACTACTAACATTGTAATCAGGCCAAATCATTGATGAATATATCTCTAAACATACAGTATCATTAATAATATTGTTAGTTGTAGTATTAGTAGTATTCATTGATAAATTCGAAATATCAACATTACATGTATATGCATTAATTAAATAAAAATCTAATGCAGCTTGATTTTGTTCTGGATGTTCATGAAATGTTATAGCTAAACTTAAATCAGATTTTATTGGAATTTTCAATGTTGTATTCTTTAATGATGCATAGAAACCATTATTTCCTTGTAATTGTGATAGTTGTTGTTCCCGTTCTTTTTGTTGTATATGATGTTTAAAATTACATATTGTCATGCCCAATGTTAATTTCATTGCTAAATAATCTTTCTGTTCATGGTACATGAATAGAAAAAAGAAAACTTTAAACAATGAAGTCATCATGATTAAAATAAGGATTAGTAATGAAAACGGAATGAAGATTTGTAAAGTTCTACTCAGAATAAATAATTTTAATAGTTGAATTCATGACTCAATTGAAGCTAGACCACCATGGAAAACCTGGAAGCACTGGAAGGCCGTTTCGTTCCATTGTAGAACTCCTCATCAATGCGGCCGTCCAATATTCACAAAAAACCCCTTCCGATATCATAATTGATAGTTGGTCATACACTCAACATCACCTAATCGGTTTATCAATTATTGGCATTTGTTCGATTTCATCCTTAATCGAAGTTCGTCGGTATTCCTAGTCTGTTGTTTATGTGTATCCCATCATAAACTTGTTATATCCCGATGAGGATAATGAATGGTAACTTTTGGGATTTATTTATGGACCAATACTATATGTATATTTTTATTGTTTAATTGTTAAGTAACTAAACTATTTATATCGTGTTCCTTTATTCTGACCTATGAACCGATTGATGTGAGAAAATTCTCAGAGTTCTGCTGAGAAGCCGTGATCAGTGGAGCTAATCTGTGTCGAGTAGAAATAGCTGTCTACCTCAGATGGTCGCGCAACTTCGTGGATTGGTTGAGGTAAGACATTAACACCACTGGATTCCGGCTCAGTGATCCAGTAGGTTAAGTGTTCGCGTGTCAGACTGAAGGCCCTGGGTCCGAATCCCATGAGCGGGTTCGTGGATGCGAACTGCTGAGGAGTCCCAACTTAGGATGAAACGGCCTCACAGTGCTTCCAGGTTTTCAGTGATAGTGTAACATCAATCGGTTCATGATCTTAATCAAAATAATGATGTTAATAATTGAATTTATGAGTCGATTTGTGCTAAATCATCATGCAAAACTTCAAAGTACCAGCTAAAATTGATTCGCAAATTCAACGATTAAACAACAATTTACATTTAATATAATAAACAACGTTGTTTTGTTTTTTGCTTTTTGCGTACCTGATTTAAATATTCATCAGTTAAATGTAATTTTGAACCATATGGATGAGATGTTAAAACAAATGCAGAATTGATCATTGTTAAATATTCATGATCAATATTTTGTATAGTATTTCTCCATACTTTAAGTATATCATATGAGAATAATGTCATATCATAAGCAATGAACATAATTGTTTTTAATATATTCGGATTCCATTGATAAATATATTTTAATAATGTAGAATAGAATGAAAGTTGAGCAATTACAATACAAGCTAATTCATTTAAACAAAATTGGAGAAAAAAAGAATACAATTGAATATTAATTAATGGAACAATATTTAAGTGTCTTTTATACACAAACACATAAAATGATTGTCATTACGTAATAAAAATAAAGTTGATTTTTCACTGACAAGTGGACTGAGTCATGTTGGTAGGTGTAGTCTACGTGGTTGGGATCTGCGAGATGATAGCAACCGATGGTTAAAGACTTGGAATGACATGGCTGGAAGTCGTTTGTAATGGCGCAGGTGCATCCACTCTTTGTTTTCTCCCAAATTCTAATCTCCTGAATCCTCCTTGTCTCTTTTTTTTCTCTTTCCAAATTAATTTCACTGGATTATACTCTTTAAATAACATCTCCAAACCCTAATGTTTCTGATTACTTCTTATACTCTTACGGCCTCTATCACTACGGGATTTGAACCGACAACTTCATGTCTGTGCTAATGTGGTGTGGCAACTCGAAATGATGTACGTACGAAGTTCTACGTTGTTACTGACTGACTGACTCATTTTTCAGTTACTTTAAATTACCTCATGTGTTTTTGTTTCTAGGATAATCATATTAAATATTTCATATTATGATGGAGTTATGTTCTCTGAGCAAACCATCTCTCGACCAAACCATCCAGCCCAGAGAATAAAACTCAATCAAAATTATCCACCTGAGCTACAAGTCTTCTCCACCATCTCATACATATAATAACGTATTAATTAACAGAAAATCTTATGTAATATGAAATCACCGTTAGGAATATGAAAGTTTTGTATACTATAGGTATGTGCACACATTTCTTCAGAGATAGTAATAATCTTTCATCAAAGTATATATATATATATATATATATATGCTGGTTAACTACTATGCTCATGGTTTCATCATTTTTTTAGTCAGCTTGTTCAAAACCAACCTAAGCTATAAGCAAACTTTGATAAATTTCGACAGTGTGATAAGAAGACGAAGATTATCAGAACTATGCAATATATTAGTGCAATACATTTCGAACAATCTGATCACACGCATAATGTACTTGATAAGAACATTTTTATATAAAAATTAAAGGTCAACTAGACTGAAAATGGGAAGGGGTAAGAGGAGACAAGAATAATAAAGAAAATAATATGAAAAGAATTCGAGACCTCATCACTCGGCATAATAAGCTAATATTACCAGGATATGTTTAAGGTGAAAAAAAAATGTTTTTGAATACACAAAGGGGGGTTGAATATTTATATGGCTAAGGCTTCAGTAAACCTTAGTTCGAATTGTATTGCGCTAATATATCATCACATCGTTCGTATTCTCTTTACGCTACCGAAATTTATCCAAGAGATTAATTGCTTCAAACTGTGATAAGTAATAGTTTAAATTCGAAATAACAACCTTTTTTTTCCATTTATAATCAGAAGTACTAGGTTGACGCTAGTAAGTGACATTGTGATAGAAAATTTATTTTACATTCTGATACTGATTTAAATCATTGAAAATATCAGAATCATATAGGTACAAATATTTTATCAGTATGAGATTGTTAAGTTTTTGATCGAGATGATGGATCGATCGATGTTAGACCATCATAGAAAACCTGGAAACACTGGACAGCTGTTTCGTCCTAATAAGGGACTCCTCAGCAGTAGGTTTATGCGCGAGACGGAAAGCCTTAGGTTCGAGTCTTGCATGCAGGATCGTGAATGCACACTGTTGAGGAGTCGCATACTGGGACGAAATGGCCAATCAATGCTTCCAGGTTTTCAATGGCCGTCTAACATTGATCCATTCATGATCTCAATCAAAAACAGATCTTTTAATTTTATTGAACTATTCTAAGCTTAGGGTATACTTTGTGTAATTATATACATTGATTCTTAGTAAAATAATATCAATAATAATAAAAAAGAGATGTATCAACATCATTCTCAGAGTACCTTTATTCATTCAAAATGTTAATTTAAAAGAAAGTATTCTCATTATAATGGATTTTTACAATGAACAGTTATTGGTTATATACCATTCGTCTAATAAATATTTTAAAGAAATAAAGTTTTAACCGATGACGGTTAGGAGATCCTTGAAACTGACTTAATTTTATAATTCCTTTAATTAAAAGCATTTACTTTGTGATAATCACTTAAATACGTCAGGTGATCTGACATTTTTCTGTACTCTGAGCTATTTTATTCATAGTACTTTCACTAGTTGAGATCATGAGTCAATTGAAGCTAGACCACCGTGGAAAACCTGAAAGCACTGGATGGCCGTTTCGTCCTATTATGGGACTCCTCAGCAGTGCGCAGCCACGACCCTGCCTCGTGGTACTTTCATCATTAATTAGTGTACACATAGGAAAATGGTGTGAGGTTGTTATAATTTTACATGTTCTTGGTTCAGAATTTCTGTTTCTTGCTCTTACTACTTTTTTAATGTTCTTAGTCCGATCTATACAGATAGTGGAGGAAGAAAGTCAGGGTATTTAGTAGATAGCCTTTGTCTGAACACTAAAACCTGTTTCTTTAACGCTGGAGAATAAATGGAAATGGTATTGAACTAAGCTATTTATTGTGTATATTAGAACAGTGATTTTTGATCGTTTAATTCAAGGTCTGATTTATTTTCTAATTAAATTCTGATTACTAAAAGATTACTTCATCATCGGTATGTTATTTTGATCTAGGTTTAATCACCTGAGATAACGTTCTCGTCCTTCATGTCTAAAAGTGAGTTTCTTGCGGTGCCTCATGAACAACTGGATCCCGTTCCCGGAGTACTCAGTTTCAGAGAAAGCTGTTGAGAAATCCAATATAAATTTTAGTCTCTATTAGTTCAAGATCCAATGATTAATGGAAATCGGCTGGCCTTCTGTTCTTACTGCTCTAATTTGAAGGCCCAAAATAAACGAAGAAATAAAGTTCAAAGCTTATTTTCCCACTTTTTCTCAATTTGAAAACAGAAGAACATCGGAAATATAAAAGATTATAATAGTAAACGTTGATTTCACATCCAGTCTATAGCATTAAAGCATGTAGCTAATTGCATATATGTTGATTATAAATTGTACCGACTGCATAACAGATAAAGATGCGATTATTTGACTCAAATTATATTTCTTTGAGTATGTGTAGGTCTTTAACATCTGTAGGTTTAACTAGTTATATTAAAGCTATTTAAATCGGTGTATTTCGGGAAGTTATTCAGTACAAATATGGTTTTAAGTATGCTTTAAAGTGATCTGAATGACCATTTATGACCATAATATCTGTGAGTTTACGGTATCGTGTTCATTATAAAAGTCAATGTCTTACATGCAAACCTAAATGGGTTGATGTGTTAACAATCAGCAGAAAATTGAGGCAACAAAAAATGCCCGTTTATTGTTTCGCTTTTTCCACGAGTTCTTTCTTTGATACCGAACTGCAATAACAGCTAAATTCGGATTAAATTATAGTTTAATAGTTTAATTCATCAGTCGATTAAAGCTAAACCACAATGGAAAACCAGAATGCAGTGAACCGCCGTTCCGTCCTATTATAGTACTAGTCAGCAGTGATCATTCACTTTCCCGCTCGCGGAATTAGAACCCAGGATCTTCGGTTTCACGTGAGAACCTCTGACCTGTAGACCGTTGAGCCGACATGCTGCGGTGTTAATGTCTAACTTCAACCGATCCAAGAAATTGCGCCGCCAACCATTTCACCATAGACCTAGTTGAACTCTACTAGTCATGGCTTCTCACTAGAACTCCAGGAAATTTCTCTTGGAGCCAGTCACTGCTGAGAAGTCACATACTAGGGCAAAACGACCATCCAGTACTTCAAGGTTTTCCATATTGGTCTAGCTTTAATCAACTCATGAATCAAACTATTAAACTACTACAGTCTCAATAAAACGTCCTCTCCGATAACAGTCAGTCAGTCAGTCAGTCAGTCAGTAACAACGTACAACTTCGTACGTACGTACATCAGTTCGAGTTGTCATAGCATATTAGCACACAGATGCAGTTGTCGATTCAAATACTATAGTGGTAGAAGTAGTAAAAGTGGAGCTTTCAACGTTCTTCTGAACTGCATCATTAGCACAAACTTCAGGTAGACGTGAAGTGTTCGAATTTCTCCATATGTGTTTCACAGCTTGTTTTGTGCACCTCGATGTTGATTGGTTCTTATTGACCTTATATTTGTCATTGCTTACTTCTTTGGTATGGTTGTGTCTCCCATTGGTTTGATTTTTGTTCCTATATTTGTGCATGATAGTAAAAGTATAAGTAATCGGAAGTAATCGGAAACATTAGGGTTTGAGGATGTTATTCAATGAGTATAATCCAGTGAAATAAATTCGGAAAGAGAAATGAAGAATTCAGAAGATTTGAATTTGGGAGAACACAAAGAGTGGATGCACCTACGTCATTACAAACGGTTTTCAGCCATGTCATTCAACGTCTCTAACAATCGGTTGCTATCATCTCGCAGATCACAACCACGTAGTCTACAACTAATAACATGACTCAGTTCACTTGTCAGTGACTTCATGGATTTGTGCCATGTTTGGATCTGGCCATCCCTACCTTTCTTCCAACTTACTCCTACACCATGAGTCATTGCACGTGTTGGCAGTCGGTAGTTGGACATAAGTAACACGTGTTTCAGCCATCTAAACTGACCACGTTTCACTACTCCACCAATTGATTTGACATCCTCAGCTACTACCCGTTTCCTAACAACTGTACTAATTACTCGGTGGACCGAGGATATACGGGCAATGCTTCAAAGACATCTATGATCGAATGCTAGTAACCTACGAATATCTTCCACTGTTTCCGGCCATATTTCACTGCCATAAATTAGGATGGAACGAACTGTCTCTCAGTAAAATCGTTCATTGTTTGGTAGACGAATATCTTACCTACGTCATGAATGACGGAAGTTGGCAAAAGCTATTTGAGTCTTCTATATCCGTTCTGAGATTTTGTCACACACCAAACCACAAGGTATGATGAGACTTCCGAGATAAAAGAAGTGGTCGCGCACGTTCAACTACTTCACTCTCTATCATTAGTTCATGTGTCAATGCCATGTCAATGCTCTTCTTCACTATAAAAATTAATTCAATTATCATAAGAATAATAATAATAATAATAATACATTACCAGAATATTCTACATTTCCTATTTGTATAATATTTGATATATTCTTTTCAATATTCCATCCATAAATTGCTTTTACATTAATATTATGATTACTATCTTTCATTAATAGATAAGCTAAATCAATGGCAAATAATTGTGATGGATCATTCACATTATATTCATTTTCATATAGAATTATTATATTAAATCTATTTAAATAGTGTAAAATTTTAATTAATGCCATTGATATTTGATATTTATTAGCACCAATAGATAAACTACCAATATTGGTATAATCATATTCATATTGACTTGCATTATTATTATTATTATTATTATTATTATTATTATTATTATTATTATTATTATTATTACTATTATTATAACAATATAATGATGGAGTTGATTGATATGTAATACTTCTACTTAATGGACATTGAAAACTTATATGATATAAGAATGTTTTCAATGATTTAAAACAATCATTCATTGGTAACATAATTAATTGATTCATTTGATAACATAAATTAGGATGATATGGACCTATAATTACATTATAATCAATTTGATTCGGTTTTATCATTTGAGCATATTGTTGAGCATTTCTATATAATGTTAACATATTCATATAAGTATTATTAGTTAATATACAATCAGATAATGGTATAATATATTGTTCAATATCATTATTACTATTATTAAATGCCCAATTATTTATTATCGGATGTATATTTAAATTCATTGTATCTTGAATACTGGCGGTAAAATTAAATAATCCATTAGATGAGAAACAATTATCATTTGGTATTAAAATAAATAATCTTAAATAATAATAAGAATAAGAATATGGTTGACTCTGATTTTGTAATTGAGATAAAGAAAATAATAAAGAAGTATATATATAAAATATATAAATGATAAATTTCATTATTTGGAATTAGATATGTATGTATATATTACTTATTTCTTTGGAAGTAATAATAATCATCATAATGAATAAGAGGATAATGAATGGTATTAATGATAATAAAGGGATTATGAATAAGTTTTTAATATACAAATTCATGCCATTGATGATTGTTGTTACTATGCTCATAATTTATTGTCATTATTATTATTATTATGAAATGAACTGATGATCCATTTCAGAAAAGAAATCAAAAATTGTTTACCTCTCTTTCTCTCTCTCTCTCTCTTCATACGTCTATATACATAGATTGACTTTAATAAAAGGAGATCGGTTCCTCACCACTCAGTCTGTGTAAATTGTATATATTGTTTTTTTGTTTCTATGTAAACAAATGCTATGATTACTGAAATAGTCTAATTAGATAATAAGATATCTGTTATGTAATAATTTAATTGTGAATAAGATAACAGTTTGTAATAATGAATGAGTTATGAATTATGGTTCTCTTTTTCGTTTTGTGTCTGACTTACGAATATATATATATATATATATATATATATATATATATATATATATATATATATATATATATATACCCGTGTTTTTTTCCTTTTTACTCTATTTTCAATATAAATAAGAGGAAAATTAAAATAAGGTAACGCCTCATTATTGCGAGTCAGTTTCAGTTGTATTTAATTGGTTCTTCGATATACCTATTATTATTTTGTTCATATATTTGTTATAAATGTAACTTTGAAATGCTTATGAAACTAAAGGATTATGAATTAAATAATTGAAGAAGTTTGTACATTATAACTATTGGTATGCAGGCAAACATAAGTATTCTGGTACTTACTTACTTAAACCTGTTACTCTTCGTGAAGGAGCATAGGCTGTCCACCAGCATTCTCCATCCAACTCTGTCCTGGACAATCCTTTCGAGTTGTTTCCAGTTACTATTGTTCCTTTTCATATTTGCTTCCAATTCTCAACGCAGTGTGTTTTTTGACCTTCCTCTTTTCCGTTTCCCTTCAGAATTCCAAGTTAGCGTTAGTCTTGCGATGCAGTTTGGTGATTTCCGTAATGTATGTCCTATCCACTTCCAACGTCTTTTCCTAAAATCCTCTTCACCTGAAAGCTGGTTTGTTCTCTTTCATAGAAGGCTGTTGCTGATGGTGTCCGGTCAACAACGGACATTGAGTATCTTGTGTAGGCAACTGTTTATAAATAATTGTACCTTTGTGGTGATGGTTGTGGTGGTTCTACAAGTTTCAGGTCTGTACAGTAGAACTATCTTCACGTTCCTGTTGAAGATTCTGACTTTGATATTAATTGACAGTTCTTTCGAGTTCCATCTGTCCTTCAACTGTAGGAATGTTGTCCTTGCTTTGCCCATTCTCACCATTACGTCTGCATCCGATCCTCCTCCTTCATCTCAGATACGTGAAACGTTCCACCTCTTCGAGAGTCTCCCCACCAAGTCAGAGTGGGTCGGTATTTTCCATGTTGTATTTGAGGATCTCGGTTTTCCCTTGTGTATGTTGAAGCCTACTGATGCAGAGACTGCTGCTACACCGGTTGTCTTCATCTGCATCTGTTGATGTGTGTCGGATCGAAGTGCCAGGCCGTCTGCAAAATCTAAATCTTCTAATTGATTCCGACCCGTCCATTGCATTGCATGTTTCCTCTAAGAAGTTGAGGTCTTCAGAATACAATCGAACACCAGAAGAAAGAGAAAAGGGCGAGAGTAAGCAGACTTGTCTGACCCCGAAGTACTTTGTTGAAGAAGGTATATTTACAAAATCATTAAGATATTCTCAATCAAACTTTGAATTTCGATCCCGAATAACAGTCTAATGGTATTACTATGATTACTTGGGACAGATTGTTGAATCACATAATTTACAACATACATTTATATTATTTAGATAACCAATGAATATCAGCAAGTAGTTGATAGCTATTTCTTCCTAGTATGCGACTCCTCGGAAATGAGCAGTCGTCGTCCGAATTCACGATCTTCACGTCTTTTTAGACCTGATCTAACAGTCAAAGACTTCATGATTTAATAATGCATTTGTTTGATCACTCCTAGCTTCCTTCAAATATATATTACTTCTGATAAATATCATCTTATTGGACTAATGAAATTTGCTCATATTGAAAAAGCCATAGATAAATCAGTTTGATATAAATAATCACTTGACATTTCACCTATTACATATCCCAGATAGCACAGCCGAATTTATTAGTCCTCTCTCCTTGTTCAAAGTCTGAACCCCAATAAGTGTTATGTATAGTTTCTTGAAGTTGTATAAAATGATACTTTATAGATTGTAGTTAACGGATTACCGAAAAGCTATCCGAGTTACAATCATATTATCAGTATCGATGTGCGAAACTATAGGGAAAATGTTCTTAATGGGACTGTAATTCGATTTGTTGATAAATTTAATAACCTTATGGTTATAAAACTGGATGAGCAGTAAACTACAGATTTCAAACATCTGTAGCGATAGGTGGTGTGCTTATTGCCCCTCCCATACTTCCATCGTTGTTAAACGTGTTAGTGGATTTCTGGTGATATATTTTAGTATCAAAGTATAATTTTATTGAAATAGACATGTAGCTGAATTCCTTCCTTGTAGACTCCTGTATTTACTGTCAGTGCGTTTGTGAATTACAATAAATCAATATGAGGGATTTGTGGAGTTAGACATTAACACCTTTAGATCCCGAACCAGTGGTCTAAAGGTTAAACGTTCGCGTGAAAGACCGGTCTTGGATTCGAGTCCCGTGTGCGGATTTATGGATGCATGCTGTTGAGAAGTATCATGGTAGGATGAAACGGCCATCCAGTGCTTACAGGTTCTTTATGGTGATCTACCTTAGAGAGACACATGATTTCAATCGCGAAAATTACATCGAAGTTAGTACACGTCACTTAAACTATTTCCTAGTGGGTTATATATTTTCTTATGACCAATTTCGAAAATAGCAGAGAACAACACAGAAAACGATCATGATGGATTATTCATTTGAATCATTTTAGGACAACTGAATTTTTATCATTAACCGACATCATCTGGAGAACCATTGACAAATTAACCATAATGCCAAGTACTTTTATCCTTGGTTGGAGCACTGTGTGATTTCTGAAAACTCTGTGTTCTATCATGTAATGGGTTGTGAATGTGTACCTTTAGTGGAGTCCCGTAGTTTGATTTTGTCATCATTTAGATCGACGATATTCGTTGAAGGGCTCACCACTTTAGTAGCCCGTAGATCTGACTCCAAGATCGTATAAATGATTGTTATCGCCTTTCCCCGTATATTATCGTCGACTTAAATCACGTTAGTCAATAATGGAATTTAGATAAGTCAATTAACGAGAATGGCCTTTGAATACATATATTTTGTATGTAAAGTGAATGCGGTAGAACAAGGCAAAATGACGCGCAAGGGAGATGGCTGGTAAGCCAACTCCATTCCTAGCCAGGCGTTACGTAATATTTATAGGCAGACAAAATAAACTACAGACATGTGATGAGACACGGGATATGAAGTGTGCACACATATATGCTCATATAAAAAAACAGTCAAGACTGATAAGCGAATAATCGACAAGGTCAAAATATGACTCAAGTAGAATGAATAGAATGGAATGTTCGAAAACTAGAATAAGATAGATTATGGGCTAAAACTAATGACTAACACTACAAGTATGTCTGAAATATAATGATTCATGTCTCAGAGGCTAAGACTTGTGCTTTGGACTCAACTGGCTGGGATAGACAGCAAAGCAGGGCCAATCGGGACTCTAGGTCGTTCTTAAGTGTTTTCCGTGTCACTGAAGCGATCGATAAAACGCTTCAGTCTAATCTGCAGTCTCACGTCACAACATAATGATTACCTTTCAGTACTTGTCTTAATGACTTAATAATTCTCTATTTTATTATAGACCGCTAGTGCAAAAATGTCAACTGTCAATATGACTGTACAGTTGGTATTGTCGAAATGAAAACTTTCATTGCTGGAAAGTTCTAATTTTGTTTATTTGAATATAGTTTATAAATGTTTAATAAATGTTGATGAATATCATGTCACCTGGTGAATGGCCTTAGTTTCATGAAGCCTGTTTGATCACAGTATATACACCATAGTAACAGAGTAAACAAAAATGTGTCGAGCGTCCAATGAGAAAATGTGATGTACTCAGAGTACAATACACAGACGTGTAGTAATTAACATAACAAGTATGTATCATAGAAGTTTCAGTTATCTACTTATTCAAACAACAAACAATTTGTTCAAAGTGAATATGTTTATTGTTTATGAGTACTATAACCATAACAAATTATTTAGAAGTCATTGATATGGAATGAGTTTCGTATCAGATATCCCGTATCTTATGCTAAAAGACTCTTCTGTCTTGAACACTGTTAGATAACTATACTCTCGTCAGTTATTAAAGTTTGCCAATTGATTAGATACCTTGTTTTTAGAACTTACTGTCTTTTCTGTCAATTTGAATATGTAAGTAATTTATCAGATTTTACTCATTTTTATATAATAATATATCAATTTTAGTAGTTAAGATCATGAGTCAATTGAAGCTAGACCACCATGGAAGACTTGGAAACACTGGACAACTGTTTCGTTCTACTGTAGGACTCCTCAGCAGTGTGCATCCACTATCCCGTCCCATACTAAGACGAAACGGCCATCCAGCGCTTCCAGGTTTTCCATGATGGTCTAGCTTCAATTGACTTACGATCTCAACTACTAAAGTTACTATAATATCGACAAAATCCCCTTCTGATAATAATATA